GAGAGATCTGTGGCCCCGCCAGGAGCCACACAGCTAGGCTTTACCACGGTCAAGCCACTCTTTACCTGGGTCACCTGTGCAGGAGCAGACTGGGATCTCTGTCACCAACCACCCAGCAGGGCCTGGCTCCGTGCACTTAGCCAGCTCAGGGTGAGATGGGTGGATCTGTCCCATGGCCCAGTAATCTGGTGAGGGGGCAAGTCTTGTTCATCCCAAGACCACCACACCTGGCCCATGGCTGGCAGCACAGTGGATGACGGCAAGGCTGGCTAGGCAATGTCCTCTCCTTACTGCCTGTCTCTGTCTTGGTCTCTTAAGGCTGCTGTAACAAAAGGCCAGGGTAAGTGGTTAAGTAACCTGAGCTGATCACTTCCAGTTCGGGGGCTGGAGTGCAAGTTGAAAGTGCTGGCAGATGAGGCATCAGGCAAGGCCTCTCAAGGGTGCAGATGGCAGGCTTTCTGCTGAACGCCCAGCTCTAATATTTTCTTGTAGGGGCTCTAATCTCCCACCTGTGACCTCATCTAAACCTCTCACCTCCTGGAAGCCACCTCTGACTGGGGGTTAGGGCTTCAACAGATAATTTGGGGGGACACAAAGATGCAGTCTGTAACATGGCTGTCATGGAGACAGGTCCCAGGGCTTTTTAAATTTTATGTATTTATTTGTTTATTTACTTCGGTACAGGGTCTGGCTATGCAATTCATTCAAAGTTATCTTCCTGTCTCAGCCTCCCCAGCACTGGGATTACAGGTGTGTGCCACCACAGCCATTTTGGTGGCTGGCACAGTCTGCCTGGGGCTCCGGGGCCAGCACAGCATGCAGTACTAGGGATTGAACTCAGGTCCTTGCACTCACCAGGCAGGCGCTTAGACCACTGAGCTACCTCCCAGCCCAGGTCACAGGTTTAACATCCCACTCCTGAGGGATCTGACAGGGACAGAGCCCTACCCAGAGCTGCTGTGGGGCAGAAGTTCTTAGCTCCACATCTCCACAGGGGCCTCTGGGCAGGGCCCAGGGATCCCTCCTCTCTTAATGCCACCACTGCACCCTCAGAGGCCTCTCTGCTTAAATAACAAAGACATCTACCCTGTCCACCCAGGTCGTGGTGCTTCTCACTGTCTGACCACTGACATTTAAGGCTTGAGAACCCTGTTCCCACTTCCAGGCCAGCGTGGTGAACATTGCGGGTGCTGAGCAAGTGGCTCTGCTTGCTATTCAGCCCTCCGCCTATCCCTCATGGATTCATGCTGAGCCACGCCAGAGGTCCATCTAATCCTGACACTTGTTCCCAGAAACCCCGCCTGTATCCCCCCGCCCCCCGACACACACACAAAGCTCTTTTGTGTATCAGGACACACAATGTGCCTGTGGCGTCTCAGAGCAGCCGGGTGCTCCCACAGATGTCCCAGGGGTGCACCTTGGTTTGGCCAAACTTGGCTGCCCTCCTCCATCCATGGGACAAGCACCGTGGTCTCCCACACTCCTTGCTACAGACAGTGGCTTGCCCTATGGAATGATGCGCCCTCATAGACGGCCCGCACCAGGGCATGTCTGCCGCTGTACCCAACAGGAACTCCAGGCTCCCTCAGGCATGGGGCATCTGCCTCCCACTAGCTGCCATCTGCAGAAGACCAGGCAGGCCAGGCAGAGTAGGCCCCAGTGCTCTAAACACTAACTCCCGGGCCAAAGACCCTCACAGCGCACCTACCTGTCCGACAGGTGAGTGGGTGCCTGGCCTCCGTGTTCCACCTGGCACTCCAGAGTTACAAGCTGCTTGTCCTACCTGAGAAGAGCCGCACTATGGAGTCCCAACCTCCCAGCACACTGAACCCCCTCCCTAGACTCTTGCGGCAGCACCGGCAGGTGCAACCCTCAGCCAGCTGACTAGAGAGCATACTGAGAACGGAGACTCCTTGAGACCCCAGAGAGCAGTGGCCAGCTCCACCCCGGCACTCCCGAGGACCCCCTCGGGGTGCTGCTATCCCAACCTTCAGGAAGCTGGGCTCAGCACTCGTACACAGATCTCTCAGGATGTGGCCTGCAGTATTCTCAATGACACTACAGCAGGTCTTTTACAAGTGCATGGGAAGTGTCTGTAGGGAGAAGGGACCATAGAATGTGGGCCACCTCCTAGGGCCTTCCACTAGCAGCAAACACACACCATGTCCTAGCTGCTGGGAGGCACCCAAAGGTGAGCAGGGTTGGGTTCTACAATTAGGGAGCAGCCAGGGATTCTAAGGGGACTGCATGCAGAACCTGCCAGTAGGATATGGGGTTTGCTTTAGGCCACTGTAAGCCGTGGGGCAACTCAGTTGGGCTCCCGGGTAAGAAGGGAAAGCATTTAAATGGGACCAGGCATCTCACTCTGCTCTAGGGAAGTCAGGGGCTTCCCGAAAGCCTTCCTTGCACTGTAGGCAAGGGGGAGACGGGGCCCCACCAGATGTCCCAGCACCTGGCACAGTAGGTCCATAACACTGGAGACTCTGAGGCTAACCCATCCTGCAGTTAAGAGCTTCTAGAAGCTGGTCACAAGGACAAATGTGTTTAGAGGGCACAGGAGGCTCTGGAAGGAACCTAGAAGGTAGCAGGGACAGGTGTGCTTGTGGGGCACCTGGGCCCAGGTGAGCAGCAGTTCTGGGCCTCCACAGTACACACACACCTGACGTCCTGTAGAGTACCCCCAGATACCCATTCAGTGTTGGGGAGGCAGGGTGTAGGGTCCGGGTCCTACTCCTCCAAGAAACCTCAGGAGAGCACAAAGGATCAGCTGGAGGGGCTGCTCCCCCAGCTGGTTCTGAAAGGAGGGGTGCTCTGAAGCCAGGCATGATTCTGACCAGTCAGAATACAGCCCACTAAACAGGAGCAAGTCATGAGGGAAAGAGCTGGTCCTCAGAGGGGCACAGACCATGCACAAGCGACCGGCAGCACTGCCAGAGCTCCAGCAGTCCCACCGCCCCCTTTCTGAGGGCACACATCCCATCTTGTGGGTATATCTGTCCTTCTGTGCTGCCAGCTATCAGTGACCCTGACCTCTGACCTCTGGCAGCACCTCAAGCAGCTGCAATTCACATCTGTGTTGAGAGCCACAAATGTCACAAAGTACAGTGTGTGGGGGTATGAGCTTGGACATGGGAAGCAAATGTTGGGGCAGCAGCACGACCTGAGGCAGCGAGGCCCAAAGAACCAGCACAAAATCTTTGAGATCGGATGTTTATAGTCTTCACACATGCCTTTAGAGCAAGAAACACACATGGCCACCAGTACTACGGAGGCGATGACCACGGCCTCAGTGTCTGGACACACGGAAAAGGCAAACATGCTCCCCTAAGGCCCCTTGGTTCTCACAGGATCCTGGGAGCAAAAGCCTTGGTGGAACAATTAGCAAATGCTGGAGAGAAAACCACGTGCCGATTCAGCTGCCATGACCTGAATCTAACAGGGAGTGGAGTTTGGGGAAACCAGTGAAAGAACATAGAAAAATACAACTATTTCGTGTACATTCAGAGATACTAATGACCATGGACAAAGGGCCTTCTGGAACCACAGGTACAGGTGCTAGGGAGCCTAAAATAGGAGGCTACAAATCAGCTACGTGGTCTGCGGGAATCGTTGACTGCATCCTTCCACAAAGGCCTCTGTAAAAACCAATGATGTGGACATGCCTTTCCTGGGAGTACCACTAACCTGTTACCAGCTGAGGATGAGTGCTCCGACACCGCTGGGGCAACCAGCAGCCTGTTTTAGCATGCTCAGTGCAAACTCAGGACTAACGTCTGAATGCCTCATCAAGCTCTCGCATCATGAAGGCTGCAACCAGGAAACGCGGTGAGAGTATATGAACTCTGTGCTGGCCTCTGAACCACAGGCTGAAAACACTGCAGTATCCATCATTTCTAGGAATGAGAGGACCTGGCCAACTAGCCATACAAGAAGTCACCTCACATCAGCGCAGTATGGCTTGGGCCTGAGCTGGGGGCCTGCTGGCCACAGGGGACACTAGTCTCTTTAGGACCATGGCTTACGTAGGCACCTGGAAGAGGGTGACTTGTCTATTGCTGTGCAGCCATGAGTGGGCTACATTGGGCATGATGAACTGAGTCATGGTCACTGGTAACTTGCTCTCATGTACCAGGCTCGGGGTCCACCCCACGCAGGAATGCCCACCCTCCCAATCCACCAACCTTTGGAGGCCTGCATGGTGTTCTTCTCTTGGGCAGACATACCCTGCCGTTGACACATATGGCCTAGCCTGGCTATAGCTACAGAAGATGGGGTGAGGGGGGTCTCCTTGCAGGTCTCCTCCCATTTAGGTCACATGGCCAGTTACACTGAAAAACCCTGGTCAGCTGGCACACATGGGGCCAGGCCCTCCTGAGTAACACAGCAGTTGGAGAAAGCTCTGGGTGTTGGAGCGTGCCCACCCTAGGGAGCCCAGAGCTGCAGGGTGTTATCACTGATCACCTGCTGCAGACGAGCAGGGCAAGGGGGAGCGGGTTGAGCGGGTTGGGGCTGCGCTCCCAGCAGGGCACTCCTGGAGAGCCTCAATTTTGACCACTGCTCTCAAAGCAATCTGCTGCTGCCTCAGCTGCCACTGTCGCCTGAATGCAAAGTGCAGCTGGTGCAGCTGCCCCACCTCCTGCACGGTGAAGCAGGGCTGCCATTCAGCAAAACGCACAACAGCCTCAAAGGACGCTGCCGCCTGCTCCCAGGCTGCCTCATCATTCTCGTCGCAGCCTCGCTTCCCTTCTTCTGCATGCCCATCTGCCCGGGCTAGTAACACAGCAGGGTGCGCCTCACCTAGCTCCCTCCCAGCTGTGCCCTGCTCCTCTGCCTCAAGGCTCTGAAGCCTGCTGCCTGGGCAGGAGGGGCCCTCTTTCACCAGCTCAAGGATGTGTGCGAAAGTCTTATGGTGAGGCTTAGAGGTGCAGTGCTCTGCTGCCACTTCCTCCTCTTCAGATGAGCCTTCAGTGAAGGCACCTGCAGGCCACAGCTTCCTCCAGGCCCGCCTGAACACCTGGCTGGGCACAGCATTCCATGCACAGGCCACGTTGAAAATGGTATCGTTCATGCTGTAGCGGGAATGGAAGCCCTGCAGGGAGACGGGAGGGCTAATGAAGTGCCTCATGAAGTCTCTTCGAATACCTTGCTCCATGGGCTGAATTAAGGAGGTCACACTGGCAGGCAGGAAAATGGTGAAGATGTTATCAGACACCAACTCAGACTCCTGAGGGTGAGCCCGGGAGCTGTCCAGCAACAGAATGGCCTTGCTGTCTTCCGGCAAGCCTATCGTTCTGAAGTGCTCTCGCACCGAGGGAACAAAGATGTGATGGAACCAATCTGAGAAAATTTCCTTGTCCACCCAGGCATTGCCCTGGGCCTTATAGGCAACAGGTAGGTGCTGGATGCCCCTGAAAGCCCTGGGGCCACACTTTCCAATGGCCAAGGGTTTGATTCTGTGGGAGCCTGCGGCATTGGCACACATCAGGACAGTCAGTCTGTCCTTGCCCTGCTTGAGGCTGGGCATGGCCCCACCATCTGGGGTGGGATTTGGCAAGCACCGCCAGAAAAGGCCAGTCTCATCGGCACTGTAAACCTGTTCAGGGGACAACCCATGCTCAGCAGTCAAGCTCCTAAAAAAGCCACAGAACTGCTCCGCTGCTTGGTGGTCGGCTACCTGCTTCTCACTGGATGCATCTAGCTTTTTAATGCCATGCCTGGCTTTAAAGCGCCAAAGCCATCCTCCAGAAAACACGCAGGGCTCAGTCAGCTGCATCTGCTCGTAGAAGTCCTTGGCCTTCTCAATAAGCATGGGGCCTGACACGGGGACACCCTCAGCGCGCTTTACCAGGAACCACTCATACAGCACCCGATCCAGGTGCTCGAGCTTTGGCGTGTGCAGAGTGCGCCGCTGCTCCAGCGCCTGTCTGGAGTCTGAGTTGGCAAAGAACCTGAGCAGCTGGGCCTTGTGAGCCTTGATGTCATACAGGGTGGACATGCCCACATTGTACTCCTGCATCAGGGCCTTCCTGCTCTCTCCCCGCTCTAGGCGCGTGCAGATGTCAATCTTCTCCTTCAGGGTCAGCACCACCCGCTTCCGCTTTTCCCCTCTGCCCTTTGCAGCATTCTGCTTGGAGGCCATGGGGCAGAGGGTGGCCTGATGTAGCAGTACTCCTTCCCTGCCTCACTCTTTCGCTCTCCCCTCTGTTCTGGCTGATCTGCTGATTCCAGGTTCAAGCCCAGTGCCTCATTGGCTCTGCCTTCCACTTGCGGCTCCGCTTGCCTCAGCCTTCCCTCAGTGTCTGGACTTCAGCAAGCTCAGGAGTTGGCTCTTAGCAACATGGTCTGTTACCAGGTCTCTGCAGGACAGGTGGCCTGTGTCAGGTGACCAGCGTCACACTGCATGGACTGCTCCACGGCTAGACCCTGGATCCTCTCTGCAGACAGCAACAAAGCTCCCTCAAACAGTGCCAGCTTTCAGGTTAATGGAGCTTTTGCAGTAAGAGCTGGGAATGCCTCTCCAGGGTCAACAATAGTGTCTCACCCACAGCCCTTCAGAAACTGGAAAGAAGAGAAAAAAAAAAAGTTACGAGAGGAGCCCACGATATTCCTACTAGAAAGCGTCACAAGGAACAAGAGATCTGTTCTGTGTGGTGGATAACTCAGAGACCACAGGGGCAGAATTCCACAGAAGCAGCAGTACCAGAGATCTTATCACATGTGCATTACATGCGCATCAGACGACTCTCAGCAGCTCAACCCCTCCTAAGCCTTATCTGGTTGATTCATCCAACTTCCAGCAGTCCTGAGGCCAGAGTGTTAGCTATATGTACAGCACATGGATGAGCACATCACAAGAGAAATGAGACATTTATTCACACATTGTAAGCGCTCCAAAGACATAAGCCAGGCTTGTCACCAGTCAGTTTAGTTGGGGAGGGTTCCTTCCTGAGTCAGCCTCCGTATCTGCAAAAGTCAGTGGTCCTGACGGACAAAATTCCATTTACTGAATGGGAAGGGTAGCGTATATACTGCCTAGCACTGAACACAGTATGGTATATGCACATCACTGTGGGGAACAGAAGGGAAGCCAAGGTTACACTGCACCCTTGAAGGGATTTTTCAAATGAAACAAGGGAGATAAGACATGGAATTCCACAGGACCTTGTGAGGCTGACAAGCTTCCTGGAGAGATCTGGCCCCAGAAATGGGCTCACTGTGGGCATCTCTTCATGCTTGGGATGCAGATAGGTGTCCGGTGACAGACATGGCTGAAAACCCTGTTGTTCGGCTTGCAAGACTACACATTTACTTCAGGAGTGAAATTCAGATGCTTAAAAACAAATCTCTCAGCAAATGGATAACATGGCGCAGTAAGTCAAGCGGTTTCTTGCCTGGCAGTTCCCAGGGAAGCACTGACACCCTAAGGCCATGCAACCACTACTGACTTAAAAGTATTATTTGCCTGTGTCCAAAGGGTAGGCAACAGACTGGGAGGACTAAGAGGTCAGAGTTGGGGCCAAAGCACTGGGGTTCTGGGAGAACGGTGGGAGTCCTTTTGCCCAGAGAGAAATATCGGGGTCAGCATGAGCCGGGCCAGACGAGGGTGTCAACGGGCAGTGGGAGTTTACATCCACCCGATTCCGGAAGGAGGGAATCCAAAGAGGGACTGACCGGTCCCCGCGGGGCTTGTGAAAGCAGCTCCCTTCTGGGACCACGATCGGTGCTGGACCTGGGAAAGCCAGACAGGAAAACTACAAGGGCGAAGCCTCATTTCTCCTCGGGGCTAGGCCCCCGGGGGACGAGACCCTGTGCAGGAGGAGGGAACCCCGGTCAGGGCCGGCGGATGCGCGCCTCCGGGAGGGCGCTGCAGACTGTTCGACGCGGAGCAGCGGGATCAGGGTCGTGGACCCGAGGCCGGGCCTGCAAGCCCGCGACACGCGCGGCTGCATCAACTTGGCCGGCCCGCGGGAGGCGTCGCCACCAGCCTACCTCGCACCAGCCTCCACTTACCTGAGTGCACCGGGCCGCCGCAGCCGGCCGGAAGTGCTGCCCTCCGCCGGTCCGCGCCTCCAGGGCTTCCCCAGGTCACTTCCGGGGCGCTCTAGGCAGGGCGGAGGACTCGGCCTCGATGGTGTGTGGGAGGGGCGCCCAGGCTCAGCCGGAGGGATCGGCGGGCGGGGTGGGACGTAGCGGCCTGGTCTTCCCTTCGGTGGGCCTTTATCCAGAACCCCGGTGTATAAGGAGTGGAAATCCTGTGCTGAGCGAGGTTCGCTAGCCAGAGAAGGGTCAGCGCGGAAGGCCAAGCGCGCCCAGGGCCGCGCCACCGCCGGGTTCCCGACCTCTCCTGCCTCCCCTTCCTCCATCCATTCTTCGCCTGGCTCCCAGAACCGTGCACTGCCTGCTTCTCTCTCCTCATTGCCTTGCAGGTGTCCGGCCAGGAGACCCGCGCCTGAGCTGCGTTTGCTCTGTGGCTGGCACCCTCGCCCTCCCTCCCCCTATGATCTTCAGTATCAGGGCTTTAGTACCAGGAAGGGTTCCTGGCCCCCAGATTCACATCTCCTGCCAGAAATCCAAAGTGCCGTCCCGTCCACACCCCACACAGCCTCCCAGCAGCACCCCAGAGGCGGGACAACGTTCCGCTCTCACGTCTGTTAGAGGTAACTCCACCTTCTCACTCTGTTGGGCCAGAAAAGCCAGAATCTCCCTGCGTGAGAGGAAGTAAATTTCCGCTGAAAAAGCCCTGAGGAATTTGAGAGAAGTATGCAAAAAGCGACCTTTCTGTTATTGGGTTTTGGCAGTCCATAGGAAAGGGAGGCATCAGGAAGAGAGTGAGGAGAGAGAGAGAGAGAGAGAGAGAGAGAGAGAGAGACAGAGACAGAGACAGAGAGACACAGACAGAGAGAGACACACAGAGTCAGAGAAAGAGACAGAAAGAGGGACAGACAGAGACTGAAACTGAGAGACTGGACAAAAGAATTGAAGAGCCCTGGGAGAGGATGGGAGGCCTTTTTCCCCCGGACAGAGATTTCGGGGTGAGCATGCACAGGGCTCCTGGACTCTTTCCCTCATATTCAATGTCCAGTCAGCCAGAAGCTCTGATTATCTGTCCATGAACCCCTTCTTTTTTGCCTCTCAAGCTGCTGACCCCTCATGCATACTCCCGGAATCTGACCCTTGGCTCTTTCCTGTCCCCCTTTTCTGTATTCTGGGGCTCAGCTGTCAGCTGTTGCATACCAAAGCACTCCAAAACTTATTGCTCTGAAGCATCCCCCACTGCATTTAACACGTGGTTTCAGGACTGCACACTAAAGCTGAATGTGTTTGGCAAAGGAGGAAACAGTTGAGAAGCACAGCAAGTGTGTGGAATCCAGAAGCCCTGGAGAAGCTTCTGCAGCTGGGACCCAGGTACAACCAGGTTCCCCAAGGCTGGCCTTACTCTGATGTCTGGCGCTGTGCTGCCGCCCTGTGGACCTGGAATTGAGTGCACCTTCCAGACAGGGCTGGTGATGGCAGGGGTTGGGGTCTGGCGTAGAACAAAGCCTCCAGCCTCACTCTGCAAAGCTCAGGCTTCCTCTTAAGGGTGATGTTCACCTCGGCAGTGCAGAGGAGGTCAGAAAGAGGGAAAGAAGGAAGAAATACAGAGGTGTCCCTTGGAGCCCGCCCCAGAGCTTCCCTCCTTAGCCATGCCCTAGTACACAGGGTCACAAGCCCAGACCAAACCTGTGCCACTCTAGCAGCCTCCTTGCTGAGCCGATCCCATGGCCACTGCCAGCAGTAGCCTTGGGAATGTCTGGGTGATCACTGTCATTCCCAAATAAAGCCCAGGTCTTCTCAGCTGTGAGGCCATGTACAGTGGGCCTCCTGCAGTCCATGGGCTGACCCTGCCATGTAGCTGTGCCCTCTGTCTGCATCTGTTTGCCTGGAAGGGGGCCTGAGCCCTGGTAGCACCCCTTGTCCAGGTTCTGGGCAGCCTAAGTGAGGAATTGTCAGCCATGCATCCTTCCAGAAGAATTTTGGGTGGCTATCCCAGGCAGAGCGGCTTTGGAAAGCCCACAGCCCAGTGATAGAGAGAGGAAATTGTCCAGGAGGCATCTGAGGTCCCTCTGGATCACCAGCCCCATCCAGGAGGGAGGACAGGGCGTGAAGAACATGGAAAGGCAGAGGAGCTGCTGGTGGAGCTGAGGGCTGGGTATGGGGGCACTGTGAGAAGCACAGGATCATGTGGTAGGATTAGAACCCAGGACCCTTGGGCTTGGGGCAGGATTACCCATAGTGCTTGGTGAGACCAGGAAGAGCTGTCTCTTCTGAGTAAATAGGGGTCTTGGGAGAATGAGAGGTGAGGTGGTAGTGTGCCCTGTTGAGATTCAGTCCTCTAGTGCAAACCTCCCCAAGTGTACACTGATAAAACCTGGTGGGGACAGCCCGCCTAAGACACAACTGGAAGGACAAGTGCCTGGCTATTCCTCTTTTGAGGCCACCAAAACCTGAGCAAGGCCTAGGCACCCTTCCAGGCAAAGGACTACAATTGGAGAGCTCAGCTACATGGCATGGTCGGCCCAGGGGCTTGGAAGAGGACTGCAGAAGGCCAGCCACACACACCCTTGTGACTGGGCAGACCTGGGCTTCACTTGGGAGGGCAGAGATCTGTGGAGAATGACGCACACTTGCCCTCACCCAACATCCACACCACACCCTCGTCCCTTTGCACTGATGCACACCTTCCCATGTGGCACATCTCAGCATCATGCACAGAGAGCCTGTAGAACATGACCTTGGGAGGCAGGCTCAGAGGGGGCCCCCAACACTCATGATCCGGCTACACAGGTGCCACGTGCTTCACCTGCCGGTGGTGCATCCTTCCGAAGGGAAATACGTACACCTGTGTAAACAGAAGTCAGTTGTGGTTTTGCATGGATGTGTTGTCTTACTTTTAAAAACTAGCTCTATATGAAAGAAAACATCCAGTCAAATGTGGTGTGTGTGGCCAAGCATGGGGCCTTGTGATCTGTTGGCAGGGACTTCCTGCCCGAGCTCTATACCCAGGGAGCAGCAGCTCCAGCGCTATGTGAACAGGCCGGATCTCCCAGGAGCCTGGCGGGTTTGGCTGAACTTCCAGGTGGGTGGGTAGAGAGCTGAGAGAACAGGAAAATCTGGAGTCTCAAGAGATGGCTGGGGTACAGGGTACCAAGGCTAAGGGTGAATCATGTGGATGCCACACCCACCCTGTCCTTGCCCAGGGACCGCCCGGTGCCCTGCCTCTTTGTGACAGGCCTTCCCAGGGACCTGGGCCAACAGAGGATCTAGGCTCAGTTTAGGCTCAGAGGCTGCATTCGGTGGTGCCTAAAGCATGCGTGATGAGAAAGTGGGGTCAGGGTGACCATGGTCAGCACCCCTGTATGGTCAAGATCAGGGCTCAGTGTGTGACCAGGGTCAGGGACCAGGCCTTGGCCATGATCTTGGCTTATTTGGGAGCCAGGGGTAGAGCTCAGAGTGACCAGAGTGTGGACTTCGTGTTGGGCTGACTCCAGGGTTCAGTCTGGTCAGGATGGGGCTGCGTGGCACTCACAGTCACGTCTCCAGTGTGTGTGCTGTGGCCAGTAGGACAGCTCCCACCCTTGGCTCTGCTGACCCTGGGCGCTGGGGATGCTGTGAGGGTTGCCCTGCGTGAGGCAGGGTGCCAAGTAGAACCTGGGCCTGGGCCTACTCCACCCAGGGCTAGTAGCACCTCAAGTTGGGACAACCAGAAATGGCCCCAGGGTTTGCCAAATACTCTGAGGAGGGGCGGAACTGCCTATTCAGGAGCCACTGCCCTGCAGTACTGACTTGCTATCAAATCAAATCGGCAAACACTTACACACCTGTAAATATTTGGAGAATGAATGTTCAGGCTGGTGCCGGGTGCTGGGTGCCTCCAGTACAGAGACAGATAAGGGTCCTGGATGGCGAGTCTCGGGGGATTGGGCTTGGGCAGGATGAGGGGTCAGACAGGCAGCAGCCACACGCACAAGCGGCCAAGCCTCAGCACCTGACTCTGGCTCGTGCAACCTGCCCTGGGCTGCAGGAGAACTTCAGAGAGAAGTTCTGGAGTGGAGAAAGGGCACGACAGTGTACTAGGGAGGCCACACTTACCCCATGTGACCTTCACTAAGGGCTTTCCTCCTCTGCAAAAGAAGAGGGCTTCCTGGGAAAGGAACGCAACCTGTGGAGTGCCAGGAAGCTGGGAAGGGGAGATCCCCAGGCTTGGAGCTGCCTGGCCCTAGGCGGAATCCCACAGGCTGGTTAGTGCCAGGGTTGGGATAGGGGTCTTATGTTACCCTTGACTCCCACCAGCCATGTTATCTCCATATGGGGACTCTTGGGAGCTGCTGTATCTCAGGCCCCAGGATACATGGGCCTCTTGGCCTTCCTGGACTGTCCAGAAGGCTGAAGTGGTGGGCTCCTGAGGCGCTCCCTCCCTGCCACCCCCTCATCACTAGAATGCCCCCAGAGCCCCTCTCAAGGGACACATGGGGGAGGAGGAATGTTTGGAAAACCAGCAGGGACAGGAGAGTCTCAGGACACCAGGGGATGTCCCTCAGCCGGAGCAAGCGTGCAGTGCTCTGGCTGGTGCTTCTGTCTATTGGCATCCAGCCATAGGGCTCAAAGGCAGAGTATGACAGAGGTGCACAGAGAAGCTCATGTTGATGCAGAAAACAGGGACAACAAATTGCCCCAAAGCCCGCAGCAGCAGGGAGCCACTGGTGTCCCCTGGGCCTGGCAGAAAAATGGAAGGAACTGTGACCTGAGGCTGGCTTGGGAAGACTAATCTGCAGGACCTGGTGGCCTTTTTGGAGAGACACAGCCACCACCACTATGGCCAGGCATCAGGGTGCTGGAGCCAGAGGTGGCTGGGCCTCGCCCTTTACTGCTGTGGCCAAGGAGGCCAGGTCAGCCTGCTGGGGCCCAGAACCAGGTGCAGAGTAGGGCTGGACAGTGGGGCACATCTGCAGGGCCAGGGCTCCTGCCTCCTCCTTCGGCTCAGCAGCTGTAGAAACTTGTACATTTCCATGGTGCTCTTGTGGCTAGTGTTCCAGGATTACTAAGGCCCTGCGGATAAAGCCTGAGGCCAGGATGGCGCCCACGGCTCCAGAAAGGTGAGCCTGCAGCTGTCCACCACATTCTGCATCAGGCCCCCAGGTCCCTCCCCAGGAAGGGCATCCCAGGACAGCCCCACCCTGGACCCCTCTAGGTGCCAAGGCAGCACCCATGACTGTCAGCTGGGATCCTCTCACGGAAGCCTGTCAGCCGATGGCCCAGGGGCCCCAGGAGAGCAGCACAGCACACGCGGAGCACAGAGGCCTGAGGAGGCCCCTGGTCCTCTGCTAAATGAGTGGGCGGGGTGCTGGAGAGGGTGGTCTCCCCCCTCCTGCCTCCCAAGGCAGGAGGCAAGAGCTATAATCCGAAGCCTGGGGACTTGCCAGTCCTCATCCTACAGGGGAAGTGCCCCACCCTAGGCAAGACCTGCCCTCCAGAGGCAGAGAAAGGACAAAGCAGGAAGGAGGGGCAGCCTGGGAGGGAAGGAGGGCTGAGTTTGAGATGTGGCCTGAGGAGCCTGTGCTGACTGGCCAGGGTGGCTTCCCCTCCCGGCTGCGGCTATATAAAGTCCTCCTGCATCCTGCTCCCTGCCCGCGACGTGCCACCATGAAGGCTGTCCTTGCGCTACTGGCCATTGCCTTGGCCCTGCAGCCAGGTGAGTCCTTGGCCACCGTGGACATGGGGCTGCAAGGGATAAGAGCAGGAGGCTAGAGGGGGCCTCACAGAGGGGGAAGAGGAAGGAGAGATTTGTCCCACCTGGTACCTTGGGGAAGCTGTTGACACACCCAGGATAACTGAACTTGTCCCCTGGTGTCGTAAGGCTCTGGGGGTGGCATGAGGCTACTTTCTACCCTTTGGCAGCACTGGCTCCCAGGGGGACAACCAGATGGACTGGATGCTACCAAATAGCCTAGGAGGTTGGGGCCAAGGGTCTCAAGCTCAAGCGCCCCAGAAGGAAGGTGGCAAGAAAGGAATGCGGGCCTGAAGGTCACCGAGCCCTTCCCTGGCTTCTGCTCCTCTAGCTGGGGCAGTGGCCCCCCAGCCTGTGACCTGCCTTGCTCTGTCTGGGCCCTCCTGCCAGATGTCCCTGGGCGCTTCACCAATGCCCTTAGAACCTCAGCTTAGTCTTCTGATTATGTGGATGGCCGCTGAGACCCTTGGAGACCTAAAGAGGGAGATGTTTGGGTGTAGTGAGGGCACAGCCCGAGGGATGCAAGGCATGTTTGCACAAGAGTGACTCGGATCCAGCTTTGTCCTTGTTTTGAAGGGAGATCACTTAATCAGGACACCCTGGCGGGTGGGGTGCCCACCACAGAGACAGTGGGACATGGCCTGGGGGCTCACGCACAGCATGTAGGAGGCCTAGAAGGGGCTGAGAAGCCAGCTGTGGCTAGGGGACAAGGACAGGTGAGCCCTGGTGGCAGGAGGGTCTCTTGACCCGCCAGCAGGCCTCTCCAGGTGCTATTGGTAAGTCCCCTGGAACTCTCACCCCTCCCTCCAGGGAGCACAGGGGCAGTGGTGCTTCAGTGCTGTGGGGCAGGCAGCAGTGAGGCTGGACAAGGAGGTACATGGACCTCTGTAAAGGTGGCCCGGCCTCAGAGGGCTCTCCTCCCCTCAGGTCTGGAGGGGCCTGGTGGAAGTGCTCTGAAAGAGGCGAGCAGCATCTGGGGACCCCTTGCCCAGCAGGGGTCAGCCCAGGGCATAGCTTGGCACCCTCTGAGTAGCTGCCTTCCACCCGCAGGGGCTGCTCTGCAGTGCTACTCCTGCACCGCCCAGGTGAGCAACCGGGACTGCCAGAACGTGGAGAACTGCAGCCAGACAGACACCTACTGCTGGACGTCGCGTGTCCGTGAGTCCTCTGCTGTGCTCCTCCCTTCCATGGGCAGCTGCTGTAGGACCTGGGCCTCGCGTCCACACCGTCCAGCCCCTGCCCTCTGCTCACCTGCCCCTCTGTCCCCATGTGCCTGCTCAGCTTCCTGTCACCTCCCCCTCCTGCACTCAGGCTCCTGGTCTTGGGCAGCTTGGGTCTCATGACCAGCCCAGGGGTGGGGGAGCTGGAGCTCCAGTTTAGAGGAGGAAGAGGCTAGGAGCAGGGGCATGCCTGGACCTGTCCTCAGCTCCTGGTCGCCATCCCTCCAGGTGCCATCGGAGTCCTGAAGCTCATCAGCAAGGGCTGCACCTCTGAGTGTGTGGATGACGCAGACAACTACTACGTGGGCAAGAAAAACATCACCTGCTGCTCCACCGACCTGTGCAATGTCAGCAGGGCCTATGGCCTGCAGCCGGCCACCACCCTAGGGCTGCTCACTGTACTCATTGGCCTGCTACTGTGGGGCTCTGGGCAGTTGTAGGCTCCAGGAACCGTGGGCCCCTAGTTCTGGCCTTCCTGGCTCAGGTCCTGAACACACTTCACACAGCTCTGCCCTGACCTGCCCCTCGGGGGACCCCCTCCAGGACTCCACTCAGTGTCCACCCATCCTAGAGACAGGAACAGTCTGCAGCTTCCCAGTGCCCCAATGGGCCCTTCATCTCTGGTCAGGTGTCTCCTTCCTCAGGATGCCTTTCTCCCCACCCTCTCCAGGAGCTGGAGCCAAGTCTGTGTGGGATGGTTGAGAAGAAAGAGGTTGGGCAGCAGTGGAGGCTGGGTGTGAGGTCCTGGAAGAGACCTGGGGGACAGCAGCCCCAACACAGTGGCCTTAATAAACACCTCTTGGGTAAGTGGGAGAGAGCCTCTGTTCTTCCCACAGGCCATGATAGGGGTCAGGTTGGGGCCGAGGCTGCGTCTGCTGTGGATGCACCTTTGATGTCAGAGCTGTAGTGCTGGCCTTGATGGAGCAAAGGTGTGGCTGGCAAAAGGAGAACGCCCACTGGAGACCAATGGGAGACCGGGGCTCCCAGCCCTTGGTATGCAGCCTTGAACGCAGTTCATCTGTGTTCTCCCTGCTGTGAAGTGGGTCCCAGAAATCTTCCTGGGTTGAGGAGCTTCTGTTAGGAGGTGAGTTGCTCGCTTTCCTGTGGGCAGCCGCTAGAGCTGAAATTGGTCCTGTGAGCACCTCATTCTGCCTCCCGACACCTCCCGTCACTAAGGCCCTGTACTTGACACCCTACAATGTAGAGGAGCAGAGGTCTAATCTGACTTAGCGTTTCCAAGAATGCAGTCCATGGCTGACTAGCCTCAATCCAGAAATACCTCAGCAGAGGTGCAGAGCAGAACAATGGCGTTCAGTTCACCATGGCCCAGAAGCAGAGCAAGGGGACAGCCCCAGAGAGGAATGGGCTCGCCCAGACACACCCAGCAGGGTGGCTCCCAACACAATCACGGTGACAGTTAAGCTTAGCCATCACTGCACTACTCCCTCAGACCTTGGTGAGCCTGTTTTTCAAAACTTTTGTTCTGAGAGCTGCGGATCCATAGTAAACACTCAGATGCTACAAAAGGACTCCCATAACAGGCTACCGCTCCCGCACTGACACCAGGGCCCAACCCTCAACCCTGCCTTAGGCTGCCTTGTTCCACCTCCTGGGTTCCTTTGGTTAAGTCTACCCATGTCCTTAGGCTCTGGAGGCCTGGGGGATGATGTGCCATGCCTTCCTTTCCTAGTCCTGGTACTTGGCCTGCCTGTGCTGGGGGCCGAATGGGGACCTGCAGCGCGGCCCCTCCAGGGAAATGGGGAACCACAGAGGCTCAGAGAAGGGAGGAGTTTGCTGTTTGTATCGTGAACTGAGCCAGGGTCAGAACTTGGTCCCGGGGGGGGGGGGGGGGGTTCTGGGGTGGTAGAGGGGAGCCCGGCAGCTGTGGAGCACAAGTCATGCTGCAGATGAGCCAAGCCAGGGGCCCCAAGGGTTTAAGCCAGTGCCCACCTGCGTGGGGATGGGGAGGGTAAGGCTTGCTCAGGCCAGTGTGAGAGTGACCCTGAATACTGACTACTCCCCCCTCCCAACACCCCTCCCATCTGCCTGACTCCCTCCTATGGGGGATCCCTGACTGACTGCAAGCCTCCTGAAGCCTGCCACCTCCCACTCCAGCCCAAGGCATGTTCTGCACACATCTCTGGCTTCCCAGGGCCTGGCATAGGCCTCTGCTCTTAAGAGTACATTGGAGAGTCAGGGGTCTGCCAGCCCTTCACACCCACTGGGACTGCTCAGACTGGTGCTGCCCGAGGCACTGTGTCTCTGCAAGCTGCTGGTCAAGGCTTGATCAGCTTCTCTGATGAGCCTCCCTGGCACAGCCTGGCACCCTAGTGCCCTGCTGTGTCTCCGCTGCTCAGAGTATAGACCCAAACACCTGTTAGGTTCCAGGTGCTGCCCTTGGTATTCCGCATAACAGGGAGTCACCCAGGCTTGGCTGGGTTCCGCCCAGCCCTCCTGGACACCCTACAGCAGTGATAGAAAACTTTTTAGTGACATGAACTTTTTAGTGTTTAGTGTCTGAAACTTTTTAGTTTCAGTGGTATAAACGTCCCACTGCCCACGTGCATCATAAGTTCACATCCACTTACCCCAAGCTGTGGAATTTACAGGGCAGTGCAGAAGACTGAGATAAAAAGGATAAATACATTAAAAAGAGGTGGGAGGACATCATCAAGCCAGGGAGGAGGATCCAAATGGTGGCACAGCCAGGAAGGTTTCCTGGAGAACTGGCACCCCAAAAGGATGGTCACCCTTGTTGAGGGTCCACATATAACTACACTCTGAAAGAGAATCCTTCTCCTTGGGGCTGACAGTGCACCCAGGGCTGAGCCCACCCAGGTCCTGCAGGGTGAGGAGCCCAGGGTGAGTGGGTGTTACCACATTGGGCATTACAGGGACAAGTGTGAGCAGTGTTTGGGGAAGGCCCTGGTAGGCCATGAGCTTTCTGTCCCTAGAGCTATCCAAGGAGACCCAGGGACTCAGGAAAGCCAGATCCTGCCCTGCCATAGCTGCAGGTCCCAGAAGTAGATGGACGAATGGTAGTAAAACCCCACCATAGGACATCGTTTGTTAGTTTTACACTGAATTGCAATTATCTTGAGCAGGGTGAGAGGAAGCAGGAAAGGCAGTCGGATCCTAAAAGTGGGAGGCCAGGTCGGGGGCCCAGGCTGGGGAGGAACATCCTTAGCTTCTAGGATCTTGCACCTCACCCAGCCCAGTGGGGTCCTGTGGCTGGCCGGGCCTCTGCTGCTCCACTGCCCAAGCTAGCTGGGTAGTCCCTGAACCTGTTCGACAGCCCCCTGGCCGAAGTGCCACTGTGTGCAGTGGGAAAGGCTCAGACACCCAGGCACAGGCCTTAGAAGGGGCTTCCAGGTCCAGGGACCAGGAGTCTCCCACCTGACTTAGACTCCTTCAAGTCCTCCAGTAAACTGCTGATAACCCAGCCCAAGGCGCCCTATCCTCCTGAGCAAGTAGCACGGCCATATTGACAGACAGAAAGGCAAAGGTCCCTCAAGCATTGAAGAGCATGGAGCCCCCGTGTAGTAAAGGCCTGGGCCCCTGCGATCAGCAGGTGCTGTGACTCTAAGGCCCAGCCGCGTAGAAGCAGGCTTGTGTAATCACACCTGCATCACCCAGACGTCAGCATGTCCAGGGCAAGGTGGGGGCTGGGGGGCTGGGGGAATTCCCAGGAGTGGAGGGCCAGAACCCGGCCAGGCTGGGGTCAGAGGGATCAGGAAGTGTGCTCAGGCAGCCTGCACTGGGGCAGTGGGATTGGACACGGTAGGCAGGCAGGCAGGCACACTGGGTAAAAGGAGGGGGCATTTGGAGCGGGTTCAAGGGCTCTAAGGACAAATCCTCAGTCCTCAGCCACCCTTTCCCAGATGGCTCTCAGAACGCAGCCAGGACTGGGTGAGTGTCACAGGAACCAATGAGTGCAATGTTCGGAGAAGGCGCTAATAGGCGTGCTAGGGATCCCGCCCTGTTACAGCCACACGGCCCAGAAGCAAAAGTGGGAAAGCCAAAAATCCAGGGTCTGCTGTTGAGGGAGACTGAGGCCAGAGGCGAAAGCCCCCCAGCAAAGCGTGGGGCTTCCCAGGCAGTCTGGCAGAACTGTGCCCTGGAGCACCTCTGTGAGGGCGCTCAGCAGTACTGCTGACTGGAGCCAGGCCAGGGCGTTGCTGCCGGCAGCCTCAGAGCCTCGGGTCAGGCTGAACGCCGCACTTGCTCCAGCTCCCCGCGTCCCGGGAGCAGCGCTTTCTCCGGGATCGGCTGCGCTGCCATCCAAGAAGACCCTCTCGGGTCGCCCCACCCCCACCCACCAGGGAAAGGGACCGTGTGAGGACCGAGCGTGTGGGATAACCCTGCGCCGCGGCCAGCGCCAAGGGCAGACACCTAAGGCTGGGCTGCTGAGTCATTTACTTTCACTCCGGTTTCTCCTTTGTCAACCGGCGCTATCGGCTCGGGGTTCCAAAGGGCGTGAAAGGGCAGCAATTCTTGGGATGGGCATGCCTGCGGTGCACTTAGGGTCCTCAGGACCTTGGGAATGAGGATGAGTGCCGGTGTGAGGGCTGTAATGAGGTTCAGGCTGGGACTGAGGTGTTGTGGGTGGGTGGTGGATCCGAGTCACCCTACTCTGCCAGGAATTCGCTGAGTCCCCAGGCCCTGCAGGATCAGGAGACCTAGATCAGGCGTCTCCGCCAGACGGCGGAAGCTCCCGACACCCGAGCCGACCAAGGCCCGCAGCGCCTGCAGTGTTGAGTGCAGCCGCGAGGTGCCGCTATGGCGCCCCGCGAGCTCCCTTCCCTACTTCCCCCTCCCGGAAGGGCGAAAGCTGCACCCGCAGGGAACGCGGGACAGACCACCACCTAGGGCGCAGGGGGGGCTCTGGGATCAGAAGGCGGAGTTGAGGCCCGCGGCGCGCGCCTTCGGCGTGCTTCCCCCTCTACCGGCGTAGTGAGGTGGTGCGCTCCAAACGGTGGCTGGCCTCGGCGCAGCGGCAGAGGTTGGGTTTAGCCAAGGAGCTGCACCGCCGCCGCGATGCTAGGGCTGCTGGTGTCTTCCATGGCCCTGGCGCTCGCCTTCTTCGCGCTGCTGGACGGCTGGTACCTGCTGCGCTTTCCGTGCGCGGTGCTCAGAGCGCGCCTGCTGGAGCCGCGCGTCCGCGATCTGCTGGCTGAGCAGCGCCGGGCGGGCCGCGTGCTACCCTCGGACCTGGACCTGCTGTTGCACATGAACAACGCGCGCTACCTGCGCGAAGCGGACGTGGCGCGCGTAGCGCACCTGACCCGCTGCGGCGTACTCGGGGCGCTTCGCGAGTTGGGGGCGCACGCGGTGCTGGCCGCTTCCTGCGCGCGCTACCGCCGCTCGCTGCACTTGTTCGAACCTTTCGAGGTGCGCACCCGCCTGCTGGGGTGGGACGACCGCGCCTTCTACCTGGAGGCACGCTTCGTCAGCCTTCGTGACGGCTTCTTGTGCGCGCTGCTGCGCTCCCGGCAGCATGTGCTGGGCACCTCGCCAGAGCGCATCGTACAGCACCTGTGCAAACGCAGGGTGAGCAGTCCCTTCCCCCAGAGGCCCTGCTGCCACCCTTTCCCTTGGTCCTAGGGCCTCCCTCAGTGGTGCCCTCGTGGGGGGCCATGGGTCCCTAAGTCAGCGCTGTGTGGACAGATTTAGCTAGCACAGTTGGTTCCCTGTTTCTCCTTCCCACCTTGCCAGAGATGCCCAGGCGAGGCCTTGCCCCTAGAAGGCCAAGTTCTGCTGTGTGGCCGGGAGTGCTAAACTGCCCTCTGCTCCTTAGTTCTAAACAAGAGATGGGTGCAGTCTGTTAGAGGAGGTTGTTGGGCACTCTGGGGAATCCAAGAACCCCATTGGCACAGTTTAGAGCAGGGGAACTGAGTCCTGGTACCTGAGTCCGGAGTCGGACCCTGGGAGATTTGAGCCTGTCTTTCCTTAGGCAGGAAGAGGAGGGCCTGTCTGCCTAGACCGAGGCCCTCCCCACGGGCTGCTTCGCACTGTTGATTCCAACTCTTGGCAACAGCAATGCAGCCCTGAGGACAGTGGTTGCCACTGGAGAGCTTCTGAAAGACGTCAGGACCTGCCTCATCCCTGGCCTCACTATCAGTCACAAGGGGCCATATCTGAGCTGGGAATCTGAGGCTCAGAGGTGATGACTGCCGCCCTGTGATCACAAGCACAGCTCCCAGGAGGCCTCTGAAGGGCCTGAATCTTTCCGTCCCCATAGGGCCAGGTGCTGGGCTCTGGGTGTTCTTCCCTGTGGCAGGAATACAGGAGGAGTGGCCGTCAAGGTCCTCAGTGCAGGGGCTAACGGAGCTCAGGACATCTTTCCTTTGAGCGAGGGTGACATGCCCTAGCAGGGACAGTATGGGTAAGGGACTGGCCAGGGGTGACATGGTCAGGGAGGCTGCTGGGAGTGGCCATGAAAACTGGGCTGGAAGGGTTGGTTCTGAGGTCAGAGAGCTAGACCCAGGAACCAGCCTGGACTGGGCTAGCGCTGGAAGCATGCATGTCTTGGTTATGTCTTAGTTACTTCCCTCATTGCTGAGACAAAACACTCACATCCAAAGTTAAAGAGTAAAAAGGTTTATTCAGGTCACAGTCTGTAGAGGCTTCAGTCTGTAGTTGGCCCACTCCAAGGCGGAGTGGAGCGGTAGACAAGCGTTGTAGAGGAGAAACAGTTCGACGAGGGCAGAAGGTAGTAGAGCAAGCGAGGGGCCCTGATGGCTTCTTCCTGCCTCTTTTACACGCTCTCCAGGCTGCTCGGGTTAGGGTGGTGCTAAGCAGTTGTGGTCTGATTAGTGATCACACACCCTTAATCGCAGTAGCACATACTCTAGATTCGGCCACCTCTGAAAAAACCCCATCTATGACCTTGTGAAGGTTTGCGGGGACATCTAGACACAAAACATGCAGTGCAGTTCTTCCTCAGTCCAGTCTGACATGTGGCCTCCGGCTGAGGTGGGGTGGCCATCTGCATGGCCTCCTCTCATCTCGTGGTTTGCAAAGCTGTGAAGCCTCTAGCCCCCTAGGGTGTGTGGGGTCTTGAGTGCAGGGAGGATGGGGTGGGGTGGCTCCCATACCCTTCCTTCTGCCCATAGCCCTGCCCCACCCAAGGCAGCAGGGGCCCTCTCACCTCTTCAGCAGGCTTTGGCCTGGTACTGCGTATCCAGAGACCCCCATACGGTGTGCCTTGGGGAGGCAGGGCCGGGACAGACACAATGTGAGTTCACAGGACCTGAGAAGCATGGGGCAGGCAGCCGGGAGGGGTTCCCTGAAGGAACTGGGGCTGGGGAGTGGTGTGGGCAGAGGCCTTGCTGTGTGCCTCTTGCGGTTCCCTCACTCATCCCACAGCAGGTGCCCGACAGAGCCTTACCCTCCTGCCCCCTGCAGGTGGAGCCCCCTGAGCTGCCAGAAGATGTGAAGCACTGGATCTCCTACAATGAGGCCAGCAGTCAGCTGCTCCGGGCTGAGAGCGGGCTCAACGAGGATGTCAAGGCCCAGTGACTGCTGCCTCCGCCCCACCCCACCCCACCTCTCACCTCAGCCTGTCAGCCGGCTGTCCTGCAGAACCCCTGTGTTAGGCCAGACTCCTAGCCGCAGTGGCCTTGTGACAGTCCAGCAACCTTCACCTGCTTGGCCCTCTCCAGGGTGGGGCCCTAGGCTGGCTGGGGAGGGGTAGCATGGACCCCTCAACCCAGCTCTGTCCCTGGCTGGGGCTAGATGGACAGAAAGCGATGAACCTGACTCAGGGACAGCAGGGCTTCTGAATGCTCAGAGCCAATGCCACATAGTTCCCTGTGGCCTCTGCTGTGGGCAGGAAGCCTAGAGTGGAATCAGATGGCAGGGGTTGAGACTAGGGGGCAGAGGGACAGAGGCACTTGGAAGGACTGACCTGCGTGCACCCCAGCACAGGTCTGCAAGGTTCCCTAGTACAGAGTTGACCTCTGCTGCCTCTTCTGTTGGGCTAGGCAAGACAGTAGACCCCTGGGACCTTTGGCTGGGAGGGGGCCACCTGGCACAGGGGGTCCTGGAAAGACAGGAGGCTTCTGCTAGCAGTGCCCAAGTCAGGAAGGGCATAGTGCTGGAGGGGGGCTCTTAGCTGCCTGTGCCCATCAGGACTTCTGTGTGACCTCAGGCTGGACCCTGCCCTCGCTGGGCACCTCAGGGCTTTCATCCCTAGCAGCTGTGTTTCCCCCACACATAATTCTGCTCTGAGGGCTCCTCCTTGAATGGGCAGCGTCTTTTTGGTGTCTGTGTTTTACAGGCCCCTTGCCATTGCCTGGCCAGCCTCTGCCTGCTTCAAGGGTCTGCTCTAGCAGCAGATCTCAGGACTCCCTGAAGAGGTTGCTGCTGCCAGTACCCCGCTTTACTGCTGGGGAAGCCAGGCCTGGAGCAGCCCACAGCCGCTGTGAACTGAAGGCCAAGTGGGGCTAGCCTCAGGCTCTCAGAGGCGCACTCTCAGCCGGGAGCCCTGCCTGGGGGTGCTTGCCTGCTTGGGCCATTGCCTGCCTGTGCCCCTCTTGTGCCCACTGCAGTGACTGCCCTGTAGCTTAGACCAGACCATCAGGGATGCCAGCTCCTCACTCCCACCCTGCTCTTGCTTTAAGTCCACATGGGAAAGTTGCAATTTTTGTTTTAAAGCACACGATTAAAGAATTCCGAGGTGCACATGTGAGCGGAGGTCCTCATTTCTGAGCCCCCACCCCCAGCAGGAGCTCATACCCAGGAATGTTTTCTGTCCGAGCTTGTTGGGCTTCCTTGAACCTGGAACTTCATCCCAAAGAACGAGGTTTGGAGCCTGGAAAGGAGTGGTCCAAAGCCCTTGGCCATCTGGTCCCTGCCCAGGATCCCCCTTTCTTGGGAGTTGGGCCCCAGCTCCTAGAGTCCTGGGGCAGGGTGGAGTGGCAGTTAGGACAGAGGCTGATGACCTTGGTGACAAGAGGGACTGAAAACGGGACATAATACAGACCCCTCCAAGGTGGGGAAGTGGGACAAAGTGATGCATTTGGTCACATAGCATAGGGGTTCCAGGCAGGGACCCTAAGCTTTCCTGCCCAGGCTCCACCCACTCAGCCCCAGGGAACTGGAAAAGGCCTTAGGTAAGGCAAAGCAAGACAATTTCTTTTTTTAACCTGAGGGCTGGGCTGGTGTGGCATATGTTGCCAGGGATCGATCCTTGGTCCCCTGCGCTTGCCTAAGCAGGTGCTTTAGACCACTGAGCTGTCTTATTGCCCCCCTTTTTAATTATTTATTTATGTTGTACAGGGTCTCGCTATGTAGCTTGGACTCATAGTGATCTTCCTGTCTCAGCTTTCCCAGAGCTGGGATAACAGGTGAGCACCACCATGCCCAGTTTCGGTGGCTGGAACGGCATGCGGTACTGGGGATTGAACCGGGGTCCTTGCGCTTGCCAGACAGGTGCACTTAGACCACCGAGCTATCTCCCCAACCCACAAGGCAGGACAATTTCGAGGGCGAGCGGGGTTCAGCATCTGGACAAGGATATGCTTCCTATTGGGACTGCAGCGGCTCCAAACGGCAGGGGAGACCTGGACAACGGGGCGGGGCTGCAAGGCTGCAGAATGAGGACCTTGGGTCCTGCCAGGCACCACGCGAAGGTGCGTGGGTGTGCAAGGGCGTGACACCGAGACAAGGATTCTGGGTTTAGCCGCAGGATTCAGATAAATGTGTCCTCGCACATGCATAAGGCAAAGATAGGAGTCTCTGAGCCCAACCACGGGGCAAAACTCTCCTGAATCCCTGCAGTCCGCGAGGGCCAGGAGGCTAGGCCTTGCTCGGGGTAGAGGTCGCCGCTTGGAGGGGCAACCGGGGATCCTTGGGCGCCTGCAGCGTGCGGCTGGGGAGGGCTCCGGGCGGCGGCGGATCCGCTGGTCGGGCGCGCGCCCTCTGCTGGCCGCATCGATGCATTGCGGAGGCCCCTAGCGCTGCGCCGCTGCCTCAGCAACTTAGCAACGTTCCCCTCCCTGTGGTGACATCTGCTTGCTTACTGCTTCCTCACTGCCGTGAGGCCGCGACCCTAACCTCTCAACTCCAAAACGAGACCCCAGTGATCTCCCCGGAAGTCCAGTCATAAGCCAGAAGACCTTGTCTGGGGGAACTGCAGGCGGGGTGTCCTATGGGACAGCACTGCTCCGGAGGATGCCGATTCCTGGGAAAGGAGCGCACTGCGCTCTGGTGGCCTCTGGGCTTCAGGGAAGGAGGGGCTCTCACAGGGTCCAGAGGGATCCTCGCCACCGTGCTGGCTACTCTCTGTGTCCAGCGGGTCTCCCAGCTGACCGGCCACTGCCAGAGGCACATCGCTGTCGCCTGGCGGCAGCTAGTGTAAGAGAACCACTGGCCTCTGGAGCTTGAGGCTCCAAGATCTGCTGTCCAGATTTCAGACTGTGCCCAGCTCCCTGCTAGGAACTTGAGCCATGGGAGGGGCCTTGGGGTCCCCCAACTGTTGCCACCTGTCTCATGGCAGTTAAAGCATGTGTGGAGGGGGAAGACGGGGTCTGAAGACCAGATCTCAAGGACCTAAGGACCCTGGGCTCCTTCCTGCATGGGCTAAGCCCCTGCAGACACTGCTCCTTCCATCCCCTGCCTTTGGGGACAGCCCTGGACAGTGCCACTGAGTGTTGTGGGTCCAGCATGGCAGGGAGCCAGCCCTGGCTGTGGGGTCTGGGAGACAAGTTGGCAGTGGCCATGGACCCACCTAATCTCCTCAGCTATCCCAAGAGCACAGGAAAGTGATTGCCACAGGGGTGACTGCAGTTGGTGGAGGCGCCTGCACCCCGGGCAGACACAGGCAAGGGGCAGCCAACTTGAGCTGCACATGCCTCCTGCTCTCCCACCTCCTTGCCGCAGCTTCATGGACACTGCCAGTCCCGGCCGAAGCAGACCACCCACTCCTGGAAGAAACCAGGTCCCAGCTCTGAGCCTCCTCTCTCCTCAAGGGTGGGGTAACTTCCAGGGTTTCGGGAGAGGTTCTTGGAGCTAACAACAGGTTCTGGCCAGAGACATGGGCTGTGCTGCAGGAAAGGCAGCCCAGATCGCATTGGTGCCCCTGTCTGTCCACCTGGGAAGTGGTTCCCTAAGGCCCTGAATGACAAGGAGGCTCAGGTGCCTGGAACATTCCAGGGTTCAGCCCAGCTGTCCTGAAGGCCAGCTCCCTGGGCTCTCAGTGACCAGAAAGGACAGACGTTGTCCCTACTCATGGTTGGTTTATTTTTTACAAGCTTGGGGGTAGAGTAAGTGGCCTGAGGCCCAAGGAGGTCCAGTTATAGAGACAGGCAGAGGTGACCACAGGCAGTGCCAGGCCCTGTTGCAAAAGGGGTCCGATGGGCATGGCCCCCAGAACAGCTAAATCCCAGATACCTCCCCTGTGTTGCAGAGGTCACGGAAGCAGCAGAAGACAGGATGGGCAACCCCAATGCTGTCAGGGTCAGTGGCCAGGCAGGAGGTGGAGCAGGAGCGGGTCACCATGGGGCTCTGGTTGAAGGGGTATTCTGCAGGGTGGGTGGGCATCAGTGCCTGCTTTGCAGTCCTCGTCCCAACCCTTTTGACCTCTTACGCTTCAGTTCTGCCCCTCTTGCCCCCTCCAGCACCACCTGCACTTCCCACCCCAGTTCTTGTCCACACCTGTGCCCCCCACCTGTGACATAAGTACTAGCAATAGCAGCAGTGCCTCCTGGAACAGGGCGGTGCTGGGCCTGAGGTAGCAGCCCCTGCCACCAGGCTGTGGTAGCAGGCCCCTACCCTTCCCCTGCTAGTCTGGGGCAGTGCTGGGTCTCCAGCCATTCCCGGTTCTGTGCAGGATCCCCGAGGTGCTTGGCCTCCTACATGCAGGCTCCCCCTCTGAACTTGGGAAACCCCAACCCCCCCTTTCAGGTCCCACCACCTCCAAGGCAAGGGGGGGCGATGGTGGCATGCCCAGCCTCACCTGCCTCCACCTTCTCCAGGGTGGTCTTGCAGGCTGTGTCCTCCAGAGTGCAGTAACTGATGTTCTTGCACAAATGAACGGGTGTGGGCCGGTCGCAGGAGTAGCACCTGAAGCTCTCACCTGGACCAGGGGTAGGGGCAAAGCCTCATCACCTGGCCCCAGAGCATCCCGCAGTGGAATTACGGGGCTGGGGGTGATCTGCTGAGGTTCTTCAAGGTACAGTTGGCTGGCTGGCACCCCAGTGCCTAAGTCTCAGTCTTACTTTCTGAAGGATAAAATCATGAGTGCTGCCCTAGGATGCAGTTCATCTCTAGAACCCAGGAAGCTCAAGAAGAGGCTGAAGGGTGCGCTCCACCAATGACTCCAGCAGCCCTCCCTCTAGGGGCTGGTGCACCAGGGCCCAAGGCAGGTTCCCCCCTTCCTGCCACTCACCAGAGCCCACACTCCAGGCTGCCAAGAGCAGTAACTGCATGACCCAGCGGGAGGTCATTCCTGATGCGCAGGACTTGGGAGCAGCTGGCTCCATTTGAGGATTTGCCCCAGCCCTTGTAGCTCCGTTCCTGGGCGTTGGTGGCAGAACTTGCGTGACTCAGTAGGGCAGCCTGGAGCAGAAGGGTGAGGGCCATCGGGACTGGGTGGTGCCATGTCATGCTGAGAACTGTGTCACTCAAAGACTCTCAGGAGCAAGACCCTTCTGCAACCTCCCTGGTACCCCAGTGTGAGGGGCAAGCTCTCCTCTCTGCTGGTGTACATCCATCACAGGGGCCTGCCTCCTCCCCAGACACCCTGTCATCCTGGGATGGCTCTGATAAAAGTGACTCCAGTCTTGAGCTCTCAAGACCCAAGTAGAGGGGGTCAGTGGTTGGCCAGGGATCAAGAATGTTCTCCTGCATGCTAAGACTGTCTACCTGGTCTTCATGCAGATAGACCATCCAAAATGAGGCCAGGCCAATGTGGAAAAGGGTTAGCCTGAGGAATTAGGGCAGCTGGGGATGCTGTGGCCTTGTCATGGCCAGTCCCCTCCCTGCTAATGGCTTTCAGCATCAGCTGCTTGGTTTTCGGCCCCTAATGACAGGGCTCCTCCTACCCTCTGGCCCCAAGGCCTGACAGTGTTCTCTGACCTTCTGTCTCACTGCACACCCTCCTACACACGGGCCTTTTCCTCTCACAGTGTAGACATACCATCTTGTCTCCAGTGCCATCAGATCTCCCCCATTCAGATGATCCTTTTCCATAGGCCTTCCCAGATCAGCCCTGGGTGCCTTATTTTCCAGTGTTCTATTAGGTAGTTCTGTGGCTGGATAAATGGGTAGGTTGGATGAATGGTTGGATTGATGGGCAGAGGGGTAGATGGATGGGTAGATGGATAAACAATGATGTTTGGATGGACAATGAGAGGGTGATGAGTGTGGCAAGGGATGAGTGAATGGGAGAACTTATAAATGGATGGATGATGAATGAATGACTAGATAGCTGAAGAGGGGATAAATGGTAAAGGTAGATGCATAGAAGAATAGATCAGCGGATGGGCTGGTGGGCTCTGCAGGGCTGGTGAATGGGCCCAGCTCTGGAATAGAGGAGGCACACTCTGGAAGCTGGATGAGCTGCTGGCAGGAGCTGTGGGCTGGCACCTCGGAGGCCCACGTTCTTCTCTTATCCTTGCCGCTCTCCATGTATGACCTTGGAGTGGCCTCCATGTCCCTCCAGACTTTTCCTGTTAGTAGGTTGCAAAGGTGGAAGGGACCTGGCTTGTGGGCTGAGGCGAGTTTTACAAGTCTTCTCAAGAAAGGAAAAGAAGGGCATGGTTTGCAAAGGGAGAGGTCGTTACTACAAATCAAACAATTGGGCCATCCATGGGGCAGTACAACTGCAGGGTGGTTCATCCCTCGGGCTTAGTCCACAGACATGCCCAGGCAGTAGAGAGGAGGCGGGGAATGCTTGTTTTTGGAACATGGCAGACTGAGCCCAGTTGTGGCTACACCTGGCCTCCCATGTGACTTGGGTGTACCCATGAGGCACTTGGGTTTCCTTTTCTGTCTCTGTACCCTGGGCAGAGGATCATCTGCCCTACTGGGAAAACTAGTAAGCCCCCTGCAGGTCACAGAGCAAGTGCACTTGAAGCACAGCGCCAGTGGTGGCACTCCTGAGCGTGCAGGTCACACACACTGGTGTGTTGCTACGTGAGACTGTCTGGATGGAAGAGGCCACTTGCCCCAAAGTCCTCAGAGTCCAGGTGGCAGGGAGGGTGTGGGATGGAGGGGCAACCAGGAGAGGGTGTACACAGCCAGCCCTTTTGCAGGCAGAGCGGGCACCACCTCTGAGCCCAGCATGCTGTCACCAGGTGTGAGAGCAGCACATCGCCAGCTGTCTGGGGCAGAGAGCACCTGTCAGTGCAGGTGTTAGGGCCCAGTTGGACAGCTGTCCTCCTATCCTCCCACCTCTGTGAGTCCATACCCTTCCCACAGGACCCATGTGTGAAGCAGGAGCCCAGGTTTGAGCCCAGTCTGTGTGCCACAGGGAGGCAGCCCACATCACCGAGTCTGAGAGTCCTGTCCCAAGCCCCAATCCCTGCAGCTGGAGACGGGGCCATTCCACAGACCTTGGTGAGCTCTGGCCCTTCCAGTTGCTTGTGGTATGGCTGTTGGCAGACATTTCTCCTTTGTGAGCCTGAGTCTAATCTTTAAACTGGGATGATGGTTGTTTCTATTCCTCAGGGATATTGGGCACTGGAAATGAGGGGATACATGCAAACAATGCCCATGCCATGCAAGACTGACAGTGGAACTGGACAGAGGCTCCAATGGGTGCCCTCAAGTCCTGTCTCCCACTGCCTGACCATCACGGGGACAGAGAAATTCCAAGGCCCTCCAAGCCTGGCCAAGTACTGAAACAATCCTCAAGATGAAGCCGAGCCTGCTTCTGCCTACCTAGCCAGTCATTGCCCAATTCCCAGGAGCCCCAGTCTTCTACCAGGTCAACTTGTCAGTCTCTGGGAACCTGTTTCCTCTTCCATGGTCACCCAGGAGGGCCACCACTTAGAAGCACTGGATAAAATGCAAATAGAATCAGGAAGTGCTCTTCCCAGAAACCTTCCCTGGCTTGCAGCTGCTTTCAGGAATCAAAGCCCCAGCCCTACCATGGCACTAAATGCCTGCTCCACCCTTCCTGGACTAATGCCTGGGTCAGACATTCCCTGGAATTCTTCTGAGAATCCTTCACCTAGGCCTGGATGTACTAACTGTTAGAAGCACTTACTGGTAGATGTAAGGAGGGATGGGTGGATAGATGCGTGGATGGCTAATGAATAGAGGATGGGTGGGATGGGTGGGTAGATGAATGGGTGACAGATTGGATGCGATGGGTGGGGATATGGTTGGATGGACACAAGGGTAAATGGGATGATAGGCGGATGGATGAAAGGATGGAGGATACATTGAATGGGTGGATAGACAGATGGATAATAGGGTGGGTGGATGAATGGAAGAAAGAATGGGCAGATGGGTGGGTGAAAAGATGAGTGCAAGGTGAAGGACAAAAGGGCAGATGGATGGGTGGGATCAGAGGGATCTGGGTAGTTGAAGACCTGCGGTTGATGTTTTCTTTCAAGGAGATCTAGGACAGTGCTATCTACAGCCCAGCCTCACTCAGTCATACAACTCGAGTTGATCTTTCCCTGGGGTAAAAATAGGTAGGTCAGGACTCAAAGTTTCATGGGACCTTGCCCCAAACATTCCCTCCCTTGGTTTCCTAGGTAACCTACACCAACCCCAATCCCAACCCTGCCCCACGTTGTACTCTGGTTTCAGCTGACTTCCACTGACCCATGTTGGTCTCAGCTCACTCCCTTCTGACAGAAACAAAATTAAACCACAAGGAAGATAAATGATGTCCACCTGCGACCTGGCTGTTCCAACCCACAATCACCCACCTTGAAAGATCCTATAAAGTCTCCTGTCCCCCTTTTATTCACTGCTGTCTTGGTCCACTAGACAGCCAGCCTGCTTGATGCCTCCAATAAATGTACTTGTGTCAGAATGTCTGGTCTGGTTAATTGCATGGGTTCGTACCTAACAAAAATGTTCTGTGAACTCTGACAGATCTACTTAGAGCAAGCTTGGATACCCCTGTGGTTTGGGAGCTCATTTCCTTCTCGGGGAATCCCTGGCTCTTCTGGAACAGATCTTTTTCACCCATTGGTCTTTTGAGGTCAGATGTGCCCATGACACCCCTGCCTTCTGGTCCTGGACACAGGCTCCACAGAGCCAGACACACACTGCCACTAGCAACAACTGACTGGGCGAAGTTCTGGTGTGACCTGACCCATGGGGCTTGAGGTTTTGGGGCCATACGCAGATACTCAGTGAACTTTTGTAGACCTGGCTGTTGATTGGATAATGCACTGGGGTGGGGAGTCAAGAGTCGGGGAGATAGGAGGTAACTGGCCAAGCCACCCAGGAGACTGGATGGGGGCTTGGTGGACAGGACACGGGCAGGAGGAATCCTGCCGCAGGCAGTAAAGCACTCTCAGAGGAGCACTGGCTATGGTGAGCTCTGGAAGCCCCTCTCATCATCCTCAGCAGGAGGGCTGCCTCCTCCTGCCCTCACTGGGGCAGAATGCAAGGCCCCCCGACAGGCAGAGAGTGGTGGAGGCTGTAGGGACAGCAAGGCGGATCCTTGTTGCCCCTGGAGGCCAGTGCCACTTCCAGCCTCACCCTGACCCGTGTCCAGCCTTGCCGCTCAGGCTTAGGGCTCCCTCCTCGGGTGCTGAGGCAGGGAGCTTATCCCTGAGCTGGGAGCACATCATGGTTGCCACCCGAGTGAGGATCTGTTTGCTGCTCAGGGCAAAAATAATGCAGAGACCAGAGACACCAAGCCTGATTTTCAAAACAGATGAAGGGGGCTGGAGCTGGCAGGTTCCAGGAAAAGGACAGCCCACCCCTAAAACCGGCCAGGGGGTTTGAGAGGCCTGGGCCACAAGATCCCTGACTCAGCTCTTCCTTTCACCACCTGTCCTGGCTCCATTTCCAGCCCAAATTTGGGGCAATGTGCTTTTTTCTTCCCCCAACAGACTAGGTCCTGTCTTTCCTCCTACAGGTCATGGAACTACTTGGACCTCCACGTAGGTGGGGCCCTGGTTCAGGTTGGGACCTAAGCCAAGCACCCTGTCTGTGTCACTTCTCTACCACGAAGCTCAAGGACCCAGGCTGAAGCAAATCCAGAACAGGATCAGTTCCCCAAAGGGCAGCCCATCACCCATGAGGCTGAGATCAAGGACAGAGCTCTAAAGCTTGGTCCTAAAGCCTCACATATAGCCTGTATCAAGTACATGCCATGAACTGAACCCCTTCCCTTGTCACACACTGAGCCTTCACTCTGGTTACAGATTAAACCTGACCTTAGTGCTGGACAGAGCCCCATGCCCTTGCATAGACTGGGTCTGGATCTTGATCATAGGATGAGGTTTGATTAGAAGTCCCAGACAGGCCTGGACTCCAGCGCCTGTGAAGTGCAGGCCTTTCTAGAGTGTGACGTGATGACAGGTCTACTTCTCCCTTGTGACAAAGTCAAAGCTCAAAGCCACAGCTCCACATGGGAGCACTTGAGTCAGCACTAGACACCTCAGCTTCCTATTCTGGGAGGATACTGCTATTCTGACCCCCAGACAGATCGTGGCCACCCTTGTGGCCACCAGGGCTGGTGGTGGCACTCACTGGGCTGTGGGAACCCTGCCCCTCTCCAGCTGGTCCAAGACTGCAGAGTCATGCAGGTAGTAGGTCTTGTCCATAGGAGGCAAAAGAGGGGAGCTCCTGGGCCCCAGGGACTGGGGGTTCCCGGTCTCTTCCTCCAAGCAAAGGAGTATTTCTTGTGGTGCCTGGCATGGGACCCTCTCCCCAGGACAGAGCCTCCTCTATCCAAGAGCAAGAAACCCTCGAAGGGGGGCTATGGCTGAGGAGCAGGGCACCCTAACCTCAGGTTTTGGGCTGGAACTGTACATAAAGGAAGTGGCCCAGCCTATCTCACCTGGGCTGGAGGTCACCTCACCCAGGGGGCAGAACAGGACAGGAGGGGAGGACAGGGTCAGCTAGGGTCTGCAAGGTTACAGAGAAGAGGCAGAAGCCAGGGGGGGGGGCCCGGAAGTGGCTTTCTCCTTGGGTCCAACCTATGCCCACCTAGGCCAGATTCCCTGTAACCCCTCATGCTCTGAGGCCAGAGATCTGCCTGGTCTGGGTGGCTGTGTAGCCCTGGTGACATAGTTGTCTTTGTTACTGGGGTGGAGCTTAAACTCATTACAGGAGACAGGAGACACAGAGGAAGGAGACAGGGCTGAAATCAGACAGGCAGGAGGCCCTTCCCTGCCCCAAGGCAGACCCGTGGCCCGAAAGGAGACTCCAGAGAAGGCCGGTGTAAGAGGTCCTGCTTTTCTTCAAGGCATCTGGGGATGGGGTGGGAGGAAGTGAGGCAGGCTAGAGCCCAAGGTCCACGAGGTGGGCCAGGGCCAGGGCCAGGGCCAGGCTGTGGGTGCCGCCCAGGGCAAGTGCCCTGTCCGTGTTGCACAGGTCAGTGTTGCAGCAGGAAACGGGTCGAGTCTGGCCGATGCCGTCCACATCTGAAGGCTGGCATTTGCTGGCGCAGGACTTGGTCACCGTGGAGTCCCCCAGAAAGGGGAACACTGCGGGCACAGGAGCGCCAGCTATAAGGGCTGGTCCTTTTCGGCCTCCAAGCCCCCACCCTGGACCTACTTGCTTTGGGTCACCCATCCCAGTGGCCTCAGTTTCCTCATGCTGAAAGCCTGTCATGGGCCAAGGACGTGTGAGGCTTCTTGCCCTGGGCTCCCTCCCACGGAGGTGATTTCCACCCAGGGCAGGTAAAGCCAAGCTGCAAGGAAGCCACCCTTCCTAGTGACTCCCAGCCAGCCTGGAGGGCCCTCCTGTTAAGACAAAGGAAGGAGGGAGGGAGGCAGAAGGGACGGGGTGGGGAGGCTAACCACTGACCCTGACCCTGGTCACCCAGGTCCTACTGACCAATCTCCAAAGAGTAGAGTGTGGTCTTGCACATGGTCTCGTTGGCACCACATTTGGTGATGGTGATGCAGGTGGATACGGCCGTGGGTTCAGGACAGGCATAGCACTGCAAGGCTGTGACTGAGAGAAGGATGAGGGGTTGGTGGGTCAGGCACCCCTGCCCCATCCAGAGACAGTCTATGCATGATCATGACCCTGTCCCAGAGTCCCCAGGCTGAAAAGACCATGACACTTGGCCAGTTTTTAAAAAGCATCATTTTCGCAGGTGTGGGGTGCTGTTGGGCAGAGCCCCAGCTGCAAAAACCGGGGGTACTGACTCCTGCTAGCCCAAGCAGTTCAGGTATCAATGTTTGAATGCAGGCTGGGAAATGTAGTGAGTTAGTGAAGCTGTTTCAAAATTAAAATAAAGGGGTGGTGAATGAAAGCAAGAGACAGGAAAAGGAATATTGTAGGACTGTCCTGCTTCAAGGTTGTATATGGTGAGATTTTTGGACTTATGTGCAAACATGAGAAGTATAGAATTCTTTATGCCTGTTTTTAAAATATATTCTAATTGTTAAATGTTTTTTTATCATATTCTGTAGGGACTTAAAGTTCAATATATCAACACTTGATGAAAAATACCTGTTCCATGTTATGCCTAAGATGTTTGATATGCAAACAGATAGTGAGGTTAAGCTTAACAGCCTAGGTTGTATGGTAATAACAATAAGCTGGTCTTCTGGATGGTTAACAACCTAAGTTTGCAGACCAAAATTAGAGAAAAAGGAGGCTGCAAGGAAAGCCAACATTTTGGCCCTAGCCTTCTAAGGTCAATTAAGACTCAGGACATATGAGAACTTGTACTGTAACATCATGTAACTTGGTAGTGTCCCAAATTTTCTGATCAAGGAGATTATGGGGCCAAAGAGGAAAGTGATCGATGATGTAGAGTGTGCCTAAGGAGAGTCACATGGAGAGAAAACATTCTCTCAGGTTTTCACAGAAAGCACACTGGCCAAGCAATGGCCGTGACTCATCCACATGGCTGACACTGACAAAGGTTCTACAATCTGAGGTACAGGATCTCAGGATAAATCCTGAGGGAATTTCACTGACCTTATCAGACCCAAAAGCTACAACTCTTGTTGCATAGGTCCTGCTTTACCTTGGTCTTAACCATCCAGCAGAAAAGTATAAAAATGAAATAGAAGAAGTAAACCCATGCTGTTATGTTGAGCTGTAGGGGACTCAGGTCAACAATTTCTGACATTGCCAGTCAAGCAGAAGACCCAATACTATTATGGGCTACTGGACTCTCTTAGAATATTTTGCTGAGTTTACATACCTATAATATTCAAATAACAGAACTTAACAAAACAAGGGTATACAGATGAATGTCCATTTTGTATCTGGGTATTCAAAGTGGTTAGGATAGATATATAGCTACATTCTCTTAATGAATAGAGTGATTTGTTCTAATGGTGTTTGTAAATAGGATATCATGTCCGCATCTTGTATAGCAGTTAACCACTAGGAAGAATGTATGCAATGTGTTAATTATTGAAACTGCCCTACCAATTTGATTTGAAACTGTCTCATTGCTATTTGTTTATCAATAAAATTATGAGAAAAAAAGAATAAAAAAAAATTAAAGTAAAGCAGAGTAGTGGTGCTAGAGAGGTAGCTCAGTGTGAAAGCCCCGGCTTCAAGCCCCAGTACCTCCTAAACACACACCAGAAATTCTTGCAGTCTCGCCTGGAGGTGGCTGCCTTCCGTTCTCACAGAACCCCAGCCTGTCCTTCAGTGCTGGCTACACCACTCCCCCTTTCTTCTCATCTTAGGCCAGGCTGATGGGGGGCTGCTCCCCCAGGTCGACCCTCTCCCATTTCAGCCTTTCCCTGTGAACAGGTGGCAGTGTCAGCAGCTGGGGCTCTCTGGGGAGGGGGCAGACCCAGCGCACAACACAAGGCCCTTCCATCCCCCACACCCCACCGTCCCTTGCCCCTCAGCCCTCACCGGGTTTCCCACGAGCAGCCAGGGCCAGAACCAGCAACGCCAACCACATCCCCTGCATGGATCCTCCTCTGCTGCCCGGTTGATGGCTGAGTGTGGTGGTCCGACAGGTCTAATGAGCCGATTAGTGGAATCTGGCTTCCCTAGGGCGGAGACAGAGACCCCGCCCAGCCCCAGGACCCCTCCCCTCCTCTTAAACACTCTGGCTTCCAGGCACTCCTGCCATCTCCTGACCCACTCAGGTCCACCCCTCCTCCCTGCCCTTCCTCGCTGCTCTTCTGGCTGGGGCCTGTCCCTTCCTCCAGGGCCTGGTGGTGACCTGCATCCCCTCCTACCGGAGCCCTCCTCTCTGCAACTCCCTGCTGGGGACCCTCCCTGACTCCTTGACCCCTTCCATTCAGCTTCCTCTTTACTCTGCCTAGACAGGTCCTGGCTGCCGAGAAATTAGCAGTGGAGACCTCCACCGTGGGCCTCTATCAGGCAGATTCACAGGGACTGGAATCTCCCCAGAATGAACTTGCTGACCCAGTTGGTTGGAAATACTTAGTGGGGAGTGGGAAGGTGGTGGGCTGAATTACTCCTCCCTGGCAGCCCAGAGTTTGTTCAGAGGCTTAAGGAACAAAGAGAAAAAACTGCTAGGCCCACAGGGAAGTTAAGGTGTGGAGAGCCCCGGGTCTCCTTGGGAACACTAATCCTTTGGACGCTAGCCCCGCCCTGGCCATCAGCACACCTCAGACTCCAGTGGTTCTGAAGTGGCCTCAGGCAGAATTTTTCTGGCCCCATTGCTGGTAAGAAAATTGAAGGCGCTCCTTGCTTTTGAGAAACAGCTGAATTTGGGTGCTAATGACTGATCAGTCCTGGCTTCCCACTGCCCCCACCCCCTGCAAACCCCATGCTACCTGATCACCCCTGCTCAGGTCTGTCCTAATGGTCAGGCCACAGTCTCACTGGGCTGGCTCAACTCCCATGGGGCCCAGGCATCCTACTCTCATTGCTGGGTTTTGCTCTTGCTCCCCAGCTGCTGGGAAATGCCCCTCTCTCCTGCCCCTCCAATGATGTGGGAACCCTAGGCTTCTTTGCTGAGACTTTACCACAGGCACGGGTTGAACTCTTGTCTTCCTGGTGCCAAGCAGGACCCAAGGTGCTTGGGGCTGACATGCGGGGTCTGGGGCTCCTCCATACCCAGTGCGTGTCACAGACAGTGACTGATCTTATTTTTCTACACAACTCTGGAGGGTCACAAACCAATGAGTTTTAGTTTGGATGAAGAAACAGGAACTGGCTTAGGCAGGTCACCCAGCTAGGCGGCAGGGGCCCCAGCCTGTCTGATTTTGCACATCCATCACCAGGCACCCATGCCGCAATGCTGCAGCCAGCAGGATGGACTGCAGGTAGCTGACTGAACGCCCCGCACGCCCAGGTGTCTCAGGGCTAGCCAGCTTTCCTGTATGGCTGCTGGGCTCCTTCCTGTCCTCAGGCCCAGGCTTCCACCCATGACTTTCACCCAAATATGTGCCCTGCCTCTGGGTGTGGGATCCTCCTGGAGTTTCCACTTGACCCTCCCTGGGGAGAGCCAGGATGGATGCTTTTTGCCAAAGTGGCATCTGCCTGATTAGGGTGGGAGGAATGTAGCCCCAATAAAGTCTGGACTGCCTCCGTCTGGGAAGCCCAGGCCCCGCCCTGTGCAGTTCCTCAGGGATCTGTGAGTCAGGGCTCAGAGCTGGTACCAGGGTCAGGGCCCAGAGTGTGTCAGGATCAAGGTGTAGCCTGTGGCCAGGGAGGACCTCTACTGGTTACCTCAGAGAGGCTGCACCAGCCTGGGACATGCTGACCTCAGAACTGAACCTTGAACTGTGACGCAGGAATCAGATATCACTGTCATGCTGCATACTGGGAATTTGTCCTAGAGTCTCTATCCAGACCTTGGCCAGGGTGAAGGCTCGACTCTGTCAGGGAGGACAGTAGGCTCGCAGGGAAGCCACCCCCTGCTCCAGGGCTATTTCTGCTGATAATCCAGTGAGTCACATAGCGCCCAGTGGGGAGTGGGCCCAGGTGCATGGTCTTCAGTGTCCTCTGCCACCTGGGGTCCTGGGGTCTGTGGTCATCCAGTGTCCCAAGATCTCTCTTATCCCCACTGCCATTCAATGTCCTGTGGTCGCTCAGTATGCTCCATTACCCGTGCATGTCACATTCTGTGGGCTAGAGTCTGGGCAAAGCGAAGCCATGTTGTTCAGCTCATGTCATGGGGGGGGGGCGGCATGAGAGGGCCACAGTCAAGGCAGGGGTAGTTTCTGCCTACATCTGGGTACTCATCCTATTCTGACTGGAGTACACTGACTCCATGGTGGGAACTAGAGGCCTCCACCCAGCGCTCAAGATTTACATTGGCCACAATCACCCTCAACCTGAGCAATGCCTGCTGGGAGTGCTGCTGCGCTGCTGCCTGCACCCTCCTCCCCAGCTGGCTCTGAGATGCCTCCTCCTGTGGCTGTTTGTCCCATCATCTGGCACGTGGGTACCCCACACAGCCTAGCCACTGTATCAGGTACACACACCGTCACGCATCTTCTGAGAACCTGCTGTTTGCACCCTCCAACCAAGTACCCAGAGACACCTCTGGAAGGGTAAGCACGGTAAGCAGAAGCATCCCCCTGGGGCTCACTGCCCCCCACCACCACCACCCCCGCCACCCACATAACCAATGCTTCACTTACAGTGACAAACACATAACCCTGTCTCGTTGCAGATCTTCCCTGGATACCCAGCACTCTTCAACAGTAACCAGCTCTCATGCCCTGGCCTCAGAATCCTAAGCCCTTTCAGCAGTGCTCCACTGACCCCCAGGTTCCTAGGGCCCACCAGCCACAGGCATCTGGGGCACACTTGGGGAGCCAGTGCTGGACCTGACACTAGGTGAGTGTCAGAACTCTGCTGATGGCCCTCCAGGGGGCAGTGCCCTGAGCCAGCATGGAAGTGGCACCTGTCCCTTCTCAGCACTGTCTCTGTGGTGTGTGGATCTAGAGAGTGCTTGCTGTCGCTGACCCTGAGCACTATGATTTTACTCCGTTTGTACGCCCACCCAGGGGTCTTCATCTTTGACCTCCCTCTGTGGGTCTTGGCCGGGTCCTGTAGGTGCCACCTTCTGGGGGTGTCCGCTACACTAGGAGGGTGCAACCTTCTCAACATATGACAGTTATTCCCTACACTGTCAACTGCCTTTTAGTTCTATGTATGGTATTATTTTTCTTTCTTTTTGTTTTGTTTGTGTTTGTGTGAGATGGGGTTTGCTATGTAGTCCAGGACAGTCTTGAACTCACTAGGAAGCCCTGGGCTGGCCTCAAATTCACAGCAATCCTCTTGCCTTGGCCTCCTGAGTGCTGGGATGACTCTTCATGTGTGTCTCAATTAGTATTTTTATGTAGTCATTTACGAATCTTTCTCAATCTGAGTTTTGTACCTTATTTATACTTTTCTTTTACATTTTTATAGCTCCGCTAAATGTACTTCAGATGTTGCACAGCTCGTTCACTTAAAAGAGCGTAACCTGGTACTTTTTTTTTCCCCGCGGTACTGGGGATTGAACTCGGAACCCTGTGCTTGCCAGGCAAGCACTTATTCTACTGAGCTATCTCCCCAAGCCCAACCTGGCACTTTTAGTGCATTCACAGACACATAGAAACATCTCCAGTCAGTGGTGCACGTTTTCATCATCTCAGAAAACCCCTGTGCCTTTTAGCCATTACCCCGTCCCTCCAGTCCTGTGGTGTTGTGAAATATACATTGAGTCATCCTCTCAGTCTCTTGGCACACAAGGGCCGGGGAGATAGCTCAGAGGCATAAGCACCTGCCTCACAAGGGCAAGGTCCCAAGTTCGATCCCTGGTACCACAAAAAAAGGATGGTTTCTTGGCACATAACTCTTAAAATTCTTGGAATAGAGGAGGGCATGGGGACTCCCATCTGTAATCCCAGCACTCTGGGAGGCTGAAGTAGGAGGATTGGAAATTCGAGCCAGTCACATAGCAATTTAGAATGACTCTGCCTCCAAATGGAAAATAAAACTGATCTGGGGATGTAGTTCAGGCCCTGGTTTCAACCTCCAGTATTGGAAAAACAAAGTGAAAATGAAAACACAACAGAACTCTTGGAATCTCTAGAAGTGTCTTTTGTAAGCTAAGGGCTTAGAAGAGATCACTGCACAGAGGATGGGGCTTTCTGCTTGCCCCTGGGCTAGGGGTGTGGTGTGGTGGGGTGGGGCTGAACGCTGACCTGATTCCTAGTGACTATCCGGTCCGCATAACAAAACCTCCATAAAGACCCCAAAGAACAGGGTTGAAGGAGCTGCCTTCCAGTGGTGGGGGGGAGGGAGTTCCTGGAGGGTTGCCCCCCATCTCATCCCCACACCGTGCCTGCTGATGGCCCCTTCCCATCCTTTGTCACTTCCCAGAGAATAAGTGTGAAACATAAGTAAAGCACATCTTGAGTTCTGCAAACCATCCCACCTAAGGAGACCCCAGGAGGGGGCCATGGGAGGCATGGGCTACACTGGGGCTGGGGCTGGCATCCGAGTGGGGCCACCTGTGGGTCTCCCACCTTCTGCAGGTGAGCAGAGAAGCCTTGGAGGAGGCCCAGTGGGTGTGTGCTGCAGGATTGCTTGGGTGCTGGTGTGAAAGTTGATCCCAAGAGGAAACGGTTCTTGTCAGGCCTGGGCAAAGACAGAGCCTGGAAGTAGTGAAGGGAGGCCACCTGTGTGCCTGAGATGACCACTATGTCACGGACTTTCCAAGGGCCACCAGAGATTCTTTGCTGTATACACACCACACCCTTTGTATGCCTGGCACTTGCCTGCACAGATTTCTGTAACGAAGTTTATCTTCCACATTCCTCAGGACTGCAACAATTCCAACAACTTGCTCTGGATGGGAAGATACCTATGCCACTCACGGGACACCAGGTCCTGCCTCACCGGTATCTGGAATACCAGGAGCTGGTATCTAAGCCACTGACATGAATGTATCTATGTTGCCTTTTAAAACTCATCTGGCCAGGCTGGAGAGATAGTTTGGCAGAATAAGCGACTGCCTGGCAAATGCAAGGTCCCGAGTTCGATCCCCGGTACCGCATGCCATGCCAGCCACAGAACCAGGTGTCATGGTGCACGCCTATAATCCCAGCACTGGAGAGGCTGAGACAGGAGGATCACTATGCGTCTGATCTTCATAATGAGACCTTGTATCAGCTAAATAAATAAAAATAAAACTCATCTGTCCTTGGTACTCTCAAATAAATGTCACACAGGGTTGCAGGGTTTCTCTTTGTGATTTAGATGAAGAAGGGGCGCTCCACTTGTGTTGTGGCGTTTGGAAGTACACGTCATTTCCCCATCTCTTAGAAGGGGCTGGGGAGATAGCTCAGTAGAATAAGCACCTGCCTGGCAAGCACAAGGGCCTGATTCAATCCCTGATACTGCAAAAAAAAAAAAAAAAGTTTAAAAAAAAAATCCTTCCCCATCTCTTAGGACCGACCCCATCAATCCCGGAAGCCACTACTATTTTTGCAGATTATTGCTCATAGGACGCTTGCTCTTTTGTGTCTGGCTTCTTTCAGGTGGCAAGACATTTTCAAGCAACACCCATGTGGTGGGCGTGTTAGCTCCTCGTTTCTTTGTACAGCTGATTAACACCCTGTGGCCTGGCTAGATCACATTTTGCCTGTCCATTCATCCGCTGATGAACATCCGGCTTTTTCCACCTTTTGGCTGGTGTGAATATCTTTACTGTGAACATTCGAGAACCAGTTTCAGCTTGGGCAAGTTTCTACTTTACTTGGGCGTATGTGCCCAGCGGCACTGGGGCTGGGTCATATGGTAACATGAGGCCTAATGGGCTGAATAAGCCACGGATTGTTTATGAGACTAGACAAGCAAGCTTGAGGAGTGAGTCTTGTTTTTCCTCTTCTGAACTGTCTGGCATTTAAGCCGTGTCTTTCTTTTTGCACTTGGATCTTTGATTGCACTAAAATGCCTTGTGACTCAGTGACAGAAGTCAGAGCAGGTTGGGCGTTAACCTGGCCCATGTGGCTACTGTCTTGAGTGCCAGCAAGGGCATCTCCATGCTCTGCTGCGTCACCCATGCCCGCAGCTGTCTCTGACTCTCTCTGTGCAGGACGACGCTACTTGTTGCACCACACACTGCTTGTGGCACCCCCTCCTCCAGGCATTGGCTTTTTTTTTTAATTTTATTTGTGTGTGTGTGTGTGTGTGTGTGTGTGTGTGTGTGTGGCCAGCTCAGCTCACCAGGGGGCGGGGCTGGCTGGCTTGTGGTGCTGGGGGATTGAACCGCGGTCCCTGTGCTTTGCGAAGCTTGTTCTAAGTAGGTGCTTTAGACCACTGAGCCATCTCACCAGCCCCAGGCATTGGCTTTTCTGTATGTATTTTCACATGAACTTGGTCCAGGAGGAATCAGAAAGCCCCTGGAGGAGCCCGTGTACTGCAGTTGCTGGTGTGCCTCAGTGTGTCCAAAACCAGGAGCCAGAAACAGCCCAGGGCACGGCTGGGAGCCAGTGAGCAAATATTTGCCCAGTAAGGGAGTAACCTCCACAAACCTCAGCTTGCGCAGCTCCTGCGCTCACCCCGAGATGAGTGATCACAGCTGTCACGGCAGCTCTGTCATCTGTCCTACAGCGTACGGTCCAGCACTGGGCCATGGGCTGGCACGAGTGACTGAAAGAGCTGGAGGCAGCATGCATGCCCACTGTGGGCACACAGGGTAAGGGGGGAATGGGCCGGGCTCCCTGGAAAACAGGTGAGAGGAGCAGGGCAAACACACAGGCGGGCTGGCACCGAAGGAGAGGCAAGGAGGTGGCTGGTCAGGGAGGGGGCAGGTTTCCTGCAGCCCACCCTCCCTCTCCAGCTCGCAACCCTCCTCTCCCTGGCTGGTTTGAGCTGAGGGTCCTGACCCCAGTTGTGACCCCTAAGCTTTTCTGGCCTTGTGCCTGGCTGGATGCAGGTGGGGTGAGGGTAGCTGTTTGGGACAGGCTGGGGTGAGGAAGCCACAACTGAGAAAGAAGTGGCAAGAGACAAGGCGTTGCCTGAAGTGGCTTCCTGTGGCTCTCTGCTCTCACTGGGAAGCTCATGCCATTTGATATGGTGACGTTTTATTGGGGGGGGGTTGTCAGGTGTGGGAAGTGTCACATAGGGAAGGCTTCCAGCCTATATTGACATAGATTTAGGCGAGAATCCAGAAGGACTTCTCAGGGAAGACAAGGTTTGGAGTGAAGAAGACTGGCCTGGCTGAGAGGGACCTCAGGGCAGGTCTGGCTGGGGGAGAGATTGGTCAGGCCGGCAGCATCGGGGGAGGTACTCAGTCACGGTTGCAGAGGCTGAACTGGCAGCAGGCGACAGACACGTGGGGACCCAAGCCCAAGCTGGAGACTTCAGGGCAGCCCTTGTCGCACATCTTGGTGACCAAAGGCAGGTCTGTAAAGCTGATAGGGGTCCCTTGGGGGTAGGAGAGAAACCTCAGATGTTCCTGGGACCCTGAGCTGCCCAAAACCTCTTGTCCCACCTGCCACTGAGCTGAAGAACACCCCCAGGAAATCAGGCACGTGGGCCCCCAAGGGTCATTTGCTGGTTCCCACAGGGACACTGCCTAGGGTGAAAGGTGATGACCACTACCACCACCACCCAGAATGCCAGGCTGAAACAGAACAAAGTCACCCAGGCCACCAGAGGGCATGTGCTCCCTGGCCCTGATCTGGCCAGGTGTCCCTGCTCTGCCCCTGACCTGCCGGGCCCCTGGACTGGGACCCCTCTGAGCCCAGGTTTCCCAACCAGGGCAAGAATGGCATGGCCAGTCCATCTGCCCACCCAACTCACGTGTGGCAATGATGACGCAGTGGGTGGAGCCTCTTGGACAGCTGAATGGCTGGGAACACCCTCCAAAGCCTTTGCAGCGGTGGCATCTCAGGCCCTGGGCTGTAGCTGCAGGTTGGGACAGACGATGGCATGGAGGAAGCAGGTGGCAGCTGCTGCAAGCCCAGTGCCCCCTCTACCCAGCATCTACTCCTGTCTGTAGCCTCTGCTCCGTGAGCCCCTGGACCTCGGTGTGTGGGGTCAAGGGTGTCCACCACGCACCAAGCTTCAGCTAAGGGCTGGGCCAGATCCTGGCATTCAGCCCTGCTGTCACGGGGCACAAGTGACCGTGTTGGGGCCAGCTGGGTTGCTTCCCTTTGCTCAGGATGACACACACTGGAAAGAGCTGGTGAGATCTCCTCAGGGAGTGGAGGGTCCAGCCTCAGCTTTGGGTGGGGCTTGGGTGGCAGAGGGCGGGGCAGTGGTCGTGCCTACTTCCACCTGTAGGCCCTGCAGATCCACAGGACCTCCATACTGGGGCTGAGTCAGACGGGGCCTTTCCCTCCTTCGCAGAAACCAAGGCCAGGTTGACCAAAAGGAATGTAGGATGCAGGATATGTTCTATTTGTCTTTTTCTTGGAAAATAAGTGACTCTGTCCCAGTGCGGTCCTCTGCCTCAGTGCCCTAGGGGACACTGTCCTGCTCTTCCCCACTCCCTCTGCTGCTCCCTGGCCTTCTTTCCCTGGTGCTCAGCCTCAACTCCTACCAAGTTCCGTGAAGGGAAGAGCCGCTGGCCCCTCCCATCCTGCTGCTCCCAGGTACTCTAGAACCTGCAGGGGACACAGGCCCCACCTGTCCTCCTCAAGCTGCGCTAAGGAAACTGACTCAGGTCTTTCCAGTGGGCCAGTGAGTGGAATCCTATTTGGGAGCTGGGCTTCCCCTAGCTCCTGGGGGCCTCAGCAGCTCACCACCCCCACACCTCCATCTCCACTCCCCTCCCCCACAGCATCCAAGTGCAGAGTCCTCATCAGCCCTGAAGCTACACATTTTGCAGCAGATGACAGGAAACCCTGCCATGACCCTTGATTGTCTGCCACCTTGTGGAGGGAACTGGGGCCACTGTTCAGCAACCACAGACTCCGGGTGCCTCACCCCACTACAACTGCCAGGCCACCATGGCTTGACAGGCTGGACACATCATTCTGGACACTGATGAATGAGCACAGCATGCTTGGGGGCAGTGGTAGTGCAGGGCATGGGTTGGGGGTGAGGGGGTCACCACAGAGATGCTGCCCCAACTTCCTACTACCCTGCTCTTGGAATCCTCCCAGTGCCCCCTGGTTTTGCACTGGCTGTTCCTTCCAACCTCCTTCAGCACAGGCTTCAGCTCAAAAGCTACCTCCTCCACCTCAATAAAATCAGAAAAAAAAAAAAAAGAATAAAAATAAAAAAGCTACCTCCTCCAGGTAGGCCTCTGCTGTATCTTGGCCTCTTTGACATACCCCCTCTGGCTGCAGGATCCCTACCCTAGTGATGGTGTCACCCTGTCCAGGGTTCCCTCTCCACCCACACCCCACACTGAGGCCCCTGAGTGGGTAGAGTTCTGTTCCTACTCTTGGGATCCTTTCAAAGCATCCATCAATCCAGAATCCTCCCCTGCACATAATGAGGCTTGTGGGAAGAATGAACGAGGGAATTCTATGGCTGGGGCTGAGGGCAATGGCTGGATTATCAATCAAGGAAAGGACGACTTCTGCTCCTTATCCTGCGCTTTTGCTTTTTTATTGATGAGGTGGAGGAAAATTTAGCTCGCAGAAGTCAGCCACTCGGGGCAGTGTTGGGCCAACAGGAGAGCACTGAGTAGTCCCTGTAGCCCTGAATGGGCTCTACAGTAGTGGGGACCAAGGGGTGGGCTCTGAGGGCAGCAGATAAGGGACGGAGGGTCCTGCGGGCTGTGGGGCTCTTAGGGGAGATGCCCTGTGGTTTCCCTTGGGTGTGAGCCCAGGAAGATGGTGCTACCCATGGATGGCAGGGCCGGCATGTGTCATGAGGCACTCCTGGGAGAGGCTACAGGCCCGACTCCACCATCCTCCAACTGGAAGAGTCATGGCCCGGTATGTCCCAGAGGCAGGTGAGATTGCTGCAGAAGGAGGTGCTGGGGGGCTGCTCTTATGGGGAGAGATCTCTAGGTCAAAGATCTTCCTGCCATGCACTGGCCTTGGTGCAGACCGAGAGGAAGGAGGGCTGGTAGTGGCACAGCCCTGTCTTGATGGGGATTAGGCCTCTCTTACTCAGAGCTCAGGATTCCACTGAACCCAGAGGGCCTCTGGCCCTTAAGGCAGAGCTGGTCCTCCTCGAAGAGCCTCACTTCTCGGAGGACAGGGCCACCATGGTGTCTTTGGTAGGCGGGGTTGTCCCTGGGCATGGAAACTCCAAAGTTGGCACCAAGGATGCACATGTGGGCCTTGTGCCCATCTCAGGTGGGTCCCTGGGCATCCCCACCCACAGATGGGGAAACTGAGGCTTTGCCAGGCGAGGCCTAGGAGATCTGGGGCTGACTGGGTATGCAGAGTGAGGCAGGTGGTCTTGCTCAGACATCAGGTGAGCTAGGGCTCGGTTGGGAGATGTCTAGGCCAGGCGCGGGCAGCAGCGTTTGAGGGGTGCTCTTGTGCAAGGACCAGGGCCAAAGTGCCAAAGCCAGAGCAGATGGGGCCAGCTTACAGATGAGGATAGTCACAGGGTGCGGAGGACAGGAGCAGAGCCCACCCTACCCCCACCCCCTGCCAAGGCAGAAAAGGACCAGAGAAGGAAATGAGGAGGGTGCCAGGAGAGGGTGACTGCATGTGGCAGCCAGCGGGGACTTCTGCCTAGAGGCCTGGAGGAGGGCACCCAGAGCTGCTGCATGTGTGTGCATGTGCTGGTGTTCAGGGGGTGGATCTGTGTGGAGTTGGGGTGGCCCAGGGGTGTGCATGCACCCAGGACATGAGAGGTCGGCATTAAGGCTATGCTGGGGGCTGTGGGGAGCAGAGACACAATGTTAGGTGAGGAAGAGCAGAAGACAGGCTGGTGGGCAGGGAGACCTGGGGCCCGGATGGGGTAGTGATAGGAAAGAGGCTTCCCTAGGGGTACAGTCACAGCCTGGAGCCATGGATGGCCTGGATGGAGGGATGGATGAGAGCAGTAGGGGTGGAGGAGCAGCCCAACCCCTGGACTCACCCAGCACCAGGCTCAAAACCACGGCCATCACGAGTCCTCTGAGAAGCCGCATGTTGTCAAGGTGAGGGCGAGTATGGTGCCCTGGGTTTTGCTTATACCCACGGCTGCTCCCACCCCCACCCTTCTGAGTCACCGGCAGCCTGGTTGAGCTAGGAGATGGGCCAGGCTCAGGTCACCCCAGAGACCAACCTGGCCCTGGGGTTGTGGCACTGTGCCTTCAAGGTCTTCTGCTCCATCCACAAAGAGATGTCCCAGTTGTCAGAACCAGAGTTCTCATGAGGGGTGAGGCCTAGGATGGTCCCCTCAGTGGCTGGGAGGAGCACAAGCAAGGAGCCCAGCCCTTGCCCTGCAAGATGCAAATGGAGCCTCCCATGTGTGGAAACCCAAAACCTTCAGCACCTCACCCTAGAGGGAGTCAGGAGACCAGACCTCCTCTGGAGAGGCTGAAGGAAGGATGGGGCTGCTGTCCAAGAGAGGGACCAGGCTGGTATGGCACCCAGGGGCCCAGAATCCAGGAGTGTTTGCCCAGTGGGGCAAGGGCCAACAAGGCTTTGGGGCTAAAGGGCCCCCAAAGGGGCCAAGTGGGGGTAAGAGTAGGACGGGATTTGGGTAAAAGGCTCAGAGAGTCAGCTTGCCACCCAGAAGACCCTTGTGCCCTCCCCCAATACCATGACATCTGTCTAGTGGGCTCCCCAGGGAGAGGGAGGTGGTGGTGGATGAAAGGGAAGGAGATCCTGAGAGGCTCTCAGACTGACACCCCTCTTCCTAGGAGCAGCTGGGAAAACGGGCTCAGGAACCTGAAAGTGAGGGGACAGGCTGGAAGCACCCTTCTTTGTCATCCTGACTCCTCTACTCCCAACCTTCCCCAGGGCTGTCTGGCCCTCAGGGGAAGATCTACTTCTCTCACATCAAACTGAGTGACTCTCAGAAATCCTTTTTGTCTCTTGTGCCTGGGCTGGCTCTGAGATCAGATAGCACCAGGGGAGGTGAAAGAGCCAGAGATCTAGAAGGGATGGGGTGAATAGGAGTCCAGGGCCCATGGGGCCAGGAGGTTCTACCAAACGAGACTGAGTGGGTGGGGCCAGAGCACATACCAGGCAATAGATAGCGAGGAGCAGACACGTGCATCTGTCCATTTATTCACCCCTCCCACAGGGAATGCTGTTGGGAGCTCTCTGGGGTGCTGGGTATACAATGTGGATCAAAGGGTGGAACACGTTATGGCCTAACGGTGAAATTTCAGGTCCAGATCAGGGTAAGGGTTGGGACTTAGTGTTGGCATTGGCTGCTGCAGCAAGGAGATGGGTTAGGAAGCACCTGGACCCCAGAAAATCAGCTGAACACCGGCTCCCGGGACCAGCTGGATGGGCACTTTCATTCCTATTTAGTCAACGCAGTGGCCAGGCCCAGGGCACCCTGGGCTGTGGGACTCACAAAGCACCCTCAGAAAAGAATGGTGTGGGAAGGGCCGTTTCATTTCTGCTTCTCAAGAGTTTTTAAATGAGACATATGTTCCCTACAATAAATCAGAAACTGTAAAGGGAGACAAAGAAGCCATCGGCGGGCTTTCCCTTCTCAGGGCCTGGGGAAACTGGCCACAGGTGTCTCCAGAGGATAGGGACCTATCCCAGTGCTGAGCTAACACCCCTGACAAGGCAACCACAACTGGCTGCATCTCCAGGTCACCAGCTTAGTGCCAGCTTCTTCTTTCTGTCTCCATGACACCCACAGAAACCAGGTACCACTCCATGGTGCCCAGAGCACTGGGAAGCTCCCCTGAGAGCTCCCGCTGCTTCTCTACATGGACAACAGACTTGGACTGGGACAGGCCAGCCACACCTCTGCCTCAGTTTCCCCAAAATGCAGTGCCTTTGTGAACAGCCCTGGATGACTGACCATGTTGAAGGATTCTTGCTGCCCCAAGAATAGAACGGCCAAAGTCCTGGGCCCCTACAGAAAGGCGAGCCCTGTGGTCCCTGATATTCCATTGCCTTTCTGTCCCTCTACTCTGTGTCTCTTCCGTCTGCATCCAGACACAGGGCTGGATGCCCCACTCTTGACCCTTGTCCTGGGCTCCCCAGCCTCTGGCTTGGATTTCCTCCCTAAACTTTCCAGTTCTAGAAGAACCTAATATGTTAAGATTTTCTGAAGGTTAGAAAACCACTGTACCCCTCCCTGGGATGGGGATGCAGCACCCCAGTGAATCCCACTGGTGGGAAAAAAGGGCATAGTAAGTGAGGTGAGAGTATGCAGGGAGCCAGGTGGCCTGGGGGCAGCCAATGGCTTCATCTGCCTGTGCCTTGGTTTTGCCACTGTCCAAGGATCATGACTGTTCCCCAGCTTGCAGGCTGCCCTGCAGCACTTGAGCCATGAGTCAAGGGAGTAGATGGGTGTTGATCACAACACCCTACGTACGACCAGGACAGGCCAGCCACTACCACTGCCTCAGTTTCCCCAAAATGCAGTGCCATCACCTCCCATTGATTGGGAACCTCCTGTGTTGGGCACGTGACAGGACCAAGGACAGGCCAGATAAGCAGGATATTGGTCTTGGGGAACTCAGGCTGGTGACAGCATGGTCACTGTGGCACTTGGACAGGTGCTCCCAACACCCTGAGCCCACAGGTGACATGGCATTCCATGGAGACAAAAGGAAGACCCATTTGGGGCCCTCCCAGCTCTGGCTGAGGACACCACTTGTGCAATGGACTTGCACAAGTAAGGTGATAACAGTTCCTTGGGACCTCCCACTGACTCAGGGCCTCACCTGGCTCTTCCCAGCAGGCCCTGGGCCTGCAATGGTCACCATGCCAAGGCTGCTGCTTGCTGATGGGATACTCAGGGAAGGAGGCTGTAGACCACAGCACTTCTCTGGGCTCAGCCCTCTACCCCCACGTGTGTGTGTGTGTGTGTGTGTGTGTGTGTGTGTGTGTCTATCTACCAAGCCTGTATTTGTCCCTTCCCATCTCCTTTCCTTGAATGAAGTTCACAATTCCTCTGGAAAGTGAAATGTCCCCCCACCAAGGCCCTTCAGCTCCACCTTCTACCCCTAAATCTGTCCTTTACAGGAAAAACTGAGGCAGAAAATTACCCCCAGCCCCAGGTCTAGAGCTCCAGACCTGTAAAAGGTTAGAGAGCAGAGCCCACAGGCGGGAGACCTGGGTCCTGAGCCCACTCTGGGAACAGGTGCAAGCAGCTCTCAGGCTGCATGCAGCACAACAGGGGTCTTACAAGAGGGCTGCGTTTGGGGCTAGGGACAGGAGACTATTGCTCACCTGTCCTCCTGGGCTGGGCCACTGGAGGGGTCCCTCAGCTACACCTGAGCAGGAGTACCATGGATGAGGATGGCTGCACCACTCCCTCAGGAGGAGGCAGGTGCTCCTCAGGCCACCCACATTCAGATCATGGTGTCAGGCAAAACTGGATCTCCCAATTCTGTTCTGCAGTTGTATTCTTAGGGAACAACCAATCGTGCTTAGAGAAGTGGGGTGCTTCAGCCCAGGGTAGACTGCAAACTCTCCCCATGGACTTCAGGATGGAAGGGGCCCACAGGATCCCCAAGCACCTGGTGCAGACCTGGGCTGGACCTTGTTCTGCTGGGGGTGACCTAGGGATCTATGAATAGAGATGAGCCAGCCTGTAGGAAGTAGGCAGTGGGCTTGGACTGGTGTGCTGTTCCCTCGCCCCACCCCTGTTGGCCAGCCAGCCTCACCCTGTCCCTCTTCCAGCCACTTGTCACATGGGTACACTCCTCCCCTTTCCCTGCAGAACTTGCAGTGCTGTTCTGCCCAGAATAGTCTGGCTTTCAGGGGCCAAATATAGCAGGGCCACTGGCTTGAACTCAGGGTGGGGGCAGAGGTGGAGAGGTCAAGGCATCTGGCTGTACAAGATGCCACCCACCCTGCACCTAGGATGGCTTCTGGGGATGGAGGGGCCTCAGAGCCCTGCTGAGGCAGAGCCATTTTCTCCTAAGCCAAGAGCTGCTCTGACACCAGGTCTGGCACACTTCCTGGGACAGCTGTAGGGTGATAAAGGCCTCACATGTGGCCTCATCCCATACCTGCCCTGGACAGCTGCTGACCTCAGGAGGAAGCAGAGAAATCTCTGCTGGATCCTACCCGCCCCTCAGCAGGTTCCTAATCTTCCCTCCCCCTCCAGCACACTTATCACCTACTTTGTAGATCGTGGCAGGGTCTTGCTGCACAGAAGTTTCCCATTAAATAAGAGTTCCCAGGCTAATTGACTCCCCCTGCCCCTGAAGCAGGAGGACCCTCCCCAGTCTGCCCACCAAGGCCTGACCCTTTGGGGAGGTCCAGTCCCACACACCAGCCCTCTGACAATGATAGGTCTCAGCCTGGAAATGAGGCCTGGTGTGGCTGCAAGATAGGAGTCCTCTTCCAGTGAGTCATGAGATCTGGTGCAGTTGAGGGGTCTCAGATGGTGGACAGCAGGGCAGGGTATGTATGCAGTGTGAGAGGGTGCAACTGTCCAATCCAAGGCTTGTCCTTGAGTGGGCCTGCTGGGGAAAGCAGGGCTTAGAGAAGACGCCATACGGTGGTCAGAAGAATAGGAGCCAAGCCCAGGGTCCCTGGGGCAGCAAGGCCAGCACCATTGCAGAGGTCATACTGGCAGCAGGAGCTGGTGGATGCATGCTTGGAGTAGCCATCATACACGGTCTCGAAGCATTGTGGCACACAGGACTTGCTCACCTTCATTCTGTATGGAGTATAGTCTGCAGAAGACAGACGAGGGGCCCGAAGGCTGCCCTCAGAGGGATGGGGACCCAACTGGCCTAGAGCCAGCATGATGGGGCAAGTAGGGCTCACCCCCTTTCCAAGCGCTCCCAGGAAGGACCCTGGGGCAGGTGGGAGCCTCCCTCCTGTACCCACCACATTCCCAGGGCCTAGGGGTACCAGACTCACAGGTACGTGTGGTCATGCAGTATCTAACCATGGCCGGGCAACGTATGGGGTTGAAGCAGTTGTCTCCATTGTAGCTACACACGTGGCACTCCAGGGCTTGGGCTGAGAGCAGGGTGTGGGGTCACAGAAAAGGGAGAAACCCTTCAGCGGATGACCCTCCCCAGGCAGGGAAGTGAAGAGGGGAGGTGTTCTCTGGGAACTCTGGTCAGCCTCCCCACTCTAAGGCCTCCCCACATTGGGCCTGTGCACCCCTCTGGCTTCTGTCCACTCACCCAGAGGCAGGCCCACCAGGGCCACCAGGAACAGGGCAAGCAGGGCCGCCATGAGGCAAGGGAGCTTGTGGATAGGTGGATCCAATTCAGCCCAGCGAGGGACAGTCGCGCCTCTCTCCAGAGCTCCTGATTTGCAGGAGGTTCAGCAGTCCTGCAAAGGGTGACAAAGGCAGGTGCTCAGTGCTTAGCCCAAACAGGCAGAGGGTTCAGTTGGGCCACCAACTCAGTGTCAGCGAAAGTGTCCTGGAGACGAGGGGAGGAGGAAGCAGGGGCCAGAGCCTCCAACAAGGGCCCAGCATGGACAAAAGCCCAGAGGCCAGTGCAGACTGAAGGGTGGGGTGCAGTGCTATGGGGGGGAGACCCAGGAACCGGCCCATGGCAGGATGGAGATGGAGGTAGGATGGGGTGGAGGAGTGAGGGGGCTGTTGCTCAGTGCAGAGACGACAAAAATGGACATACACTCCTCCCCTCACAGCTGTGGGTGAGGACCGCTAGACAGAGCCCGACTCTTCTGGCTGCTCTGGGGTGTCCTGTCTAGGGACCATCTCCCACCCAGAAAGACTTCCGGGGTACCTTGGCTCCTCTGGCCTGCACCCTACCTACTCTTGCGGCGAGGAGAGGAGACGCTGGACGCCAGGACAAGAATGAAGGAGGCGCTCTAGGCAGGGTTTGGCGTTTGCAATAGAGAAGTCTGGTCTTTGGGGATCTAGGCCACGGACTTCCTCTGCCCAGCCGCCATGCTCGGGTTTGTCCTTGCTGGGGGGACTAAATTAGACTCCCTAGAAAACAATCGGTCTTGCATGACCCATTTCCCCAGGTGCTATCCCGGGATCCCGAGTCTGACTCAGGGCTGGACCGCGGCTCCGGTGCTTCCCGCCCCCCACCCCCACCCCCACCCCCAAAGCTCCGCCCCAGAAACTGCGGTCTTGGCCCAAGAAGGGCTCCGGACGCCAGCCGGGTGACCTTCACGACCACCGCTCCTGCGCTCCTCTCAGGTACTCACCGCAGCCGTTCCCCAGGTCCACTAAGGGTCCAGCTGTACATCAGTCCGCGATTCCCGCAGCACCCACACGCATCGCTGCGGCCAGCACTGCGGGGCTCACGACAGTCACGGCTCGCTCTCGGCTCCACCCCCACCAATAAAGCTCACTGCAGGCCCCGCCTCTCCCCGCCCCCAACCTCGCTTCAGTGCCCCCACTTAAGCCTCGCCCAGGTCGCCCCCGCCCCGAGTTCCCCGAAGCTCGGTCACTGTCCTGCCCCCGCCCTTCCACGCTCCAGTCCAGGCGCTCTCTGAGGCCGTTCCGTCCCCCTACCGTCGAGAGCCTGAGGTGACTACCCAGTAGTCACTGCCTGGACCTCCAGGGTGCGTGGGGATTGTGACAGTAGCTGGGGCATAAGCCCCCCTCCCCCAGCCCAGCTTAACATCCTATCCATCCTCAGACTCTCGTGTACAGCCAGAACACTTGTCACCTGGACCCGCCGCTGTCCGCCCGCTCAGGCTTCTCCGCAACACTCAGACCTCCGAGCCCACTGGGCGTCCGTAGTGACTGCTCTGTGTGCCACGGTGTCCGTCCCGGGCAGCACTCTGAAGCCTCCCAGGAGGCTTCCCGGCTGGTCTCATGCCCTTCCCAGCTTTGAGATTCCAATTTTAAATAATTATTTTTATATAACTTTAAATATTTTGCCTTATTTTTAAATTCCGTTTTAGGTAAAATTTAATTAATTTTCCTGGACCCTAAAATTTTCTTCTTTTCAAATGTGAGGAAAAAATAATAATAAAAACATTCCTTCAATCTTGAAAGCTCATTTTACCCTCAATAACGATCAGTCCTTGTTACTGGCTCTGAGTAGTAAAATCCTTCAGTCTGGACAAACCGGACTGGTCGAGGTCTGTCAAATGGTCCTGTCCCCGAGTTCCAGGAGTCATTACAGGACAAGGGGCAGAACCTATTGACTGAGAGTGGCGGTTACCCGGCCCTCTGGGAGTCACATGTGTTGGAGGTGTTCACTCAAGAGAAATCAACCTGCGCCCCAGCTTCAATATCTCTTGAGAGGAAGCTCTAGAACTGGATTTAGTGTTTTGTCTTTAAAAGCTGAAAAGCACACAAAGTATACAAAAAACTATATTATCATATTCATTGTATTTATTCACTGCACCTGTTATTATACAATTTGGTTAGTACTGTATGTGTTATTATAAAAGGCAGACATGGCTCCACAGGCAACACAGGGCAGCGATCCCTGGGTGACCAGAACAGAGGAAGGGAGCTACAGGATGTAGCACGGACAGGAACCCCGCAGTGTCCTCTACGAACCCTCCTCCAGCTACCCACAGCCGCCTTGAGTCATAACTGCCAGGACCACCCTGTGTGGCTCTGGTGGGTTTCCTGCATGGTTTCCTTGCAAGCCATAACTACATAAACCCACCAGCGTGGTGTACAGAGCTTTACAGCTGGAACCTGGCTCCCTTGGTGCCAGGAATTTGCCTGCTGTCCTTGAGATTATCCTGGGCTAAACTAGGTATGTCAGGCTCCAAGTCACTTTTCTCCTGACCAGGACTTATGTGCTCCATCTGACCCAAATCGTGGATAGACTGACTTCTGCTACCCAGGAGCAGGCTCCCATCACTGAGTTACCGGTAAGTCGCTCTCTGTGACGCTGGATCTGTCTGTCTGCCTTTTCTCAGTCTCTATTACTTCCGTGGCCTCATTCACATGGTTGGACTCTTTCTGGAACAGTGTAAGTCTCAAGGAGACTGGGGAGCCCAGGCAGGCCACGACACTGGAATCCACGGGGCAAGAGTGTGGGACAGAAGATACAAGGGAACTGGGTAGAGTTTCCCTGAATCGTCAGCTTTGTTCCTATTAGTGCCAGAGTTTGGAGACCTCTTGGAAGGCAGGCCGGCTCCAAAAGGAGCTGGTACACCATGCATAGTGCAAGCCTAGGGCAGGGGACCAACCTGTGTGCCTGGGGGACAGACCTCGTAATCTCGGGCACCCCTGTGCTGGGGTTAAATCAGAGCTACACTAAAGGCCACACAAACTCTAAATAATAGTTAAAAGTAAGCCTCCAACTATCTGATTGCCTGAAGTAATTTAATTGTGTCCTGGAACAAAACTGAAAATTATTTTTAAAAGTCCACGGCACAACAACATACAATCGGCCTGATGGCAAGCCTGACGTCAATTAAATGCCACTAGCCCAGCAGGGAAGCAGAATCACTCTTTCGATCCACAGTATGTGTGTGTGTGGGGGGGTACTATTAAAACCCAGATGTGACCCAGCTAAAATGTTAGTAGGCCAGGACATTTTGTATGTTCAAGAAGGGACAGCATGAACATAGGTTTTCTGATATTTACCCCTCCCCCCCCCCTTTTTTTTTTGGTCCTTTTGAGACAGGGTCTCACTATGTAGTTCAGGCTGGCCTTCAGCTCACTTTGTAATCCAGGCTGGTCTTGAATTTACAACAGCTCTCCTGCTTCAGCTTCAAGTGGTGGGATTATAGGCGTGCATCACTGTGCCTGGCCAAAATTTAGTTTTCTTTTCTTTTTTTTCCCGGAACCGGGGATTGAACTCAGGCCCTTGAGCTTGCCAGGCAAGCTCTCATTCTACTGAGCCACCTCCCTGGCTTTGATTTTTTTAAAGATGAAAATAGAGCTTCTGAACATGTAAGATAAAATAAAGGAAAATACACACTGGAAAAAAAGGAACTCTACGACATTGTTGGTAGGCATGTAATCTAATGCAACCACTATGGAAATCATTACAACAATCCCTCAAAAAACTAAAACTAGGAATTCCACTTGACCCAGCTGTCCCTCTGCCAGGTGTCTTCCCCATTGAGTGAAAACCACATCACAGGGATTCATGGATATCCACACTTCTAATGACACAATCTATAACAGTTAGAACTTGGAAATAGCATATTCGCCCATCAATAGATGTGACATTTATACATGGTGGAGTACTATGCTGCCATAAAGAAAGATAAACTTTGGAAGGCATTTGCAGATAAATGGAAGTAACCTGAGAATGTAATGCTAAGAAAAATAAGTCAGGCACACAGCTCAAATATTATATAGTTTCTCTTATGTGAAAAACTAAGTATATGTATATTCAAATAAATAGCAAAATAGAAGAGAGATAAATAGAATAATAATAAATAGAATAAATAGGGAGAAATTAAAATACTTCCCCAAATTACATACTCCATATATTTAAATTTTTTTTGATATATATGCTAATTTGTTTTTTATATGAAATTTATCTTGTTGCAAAGAAAGTTATGTTTTTGTTTGTTTGTTTGTGGTACCGGGGATTGAACTCAGGACCCTGCACTTGCCAGGCAAGTGCTTATTCTACTGAGCTATTTCCTCAACTTCTACAAAGAAAGTTTGTGCTGTTATGTTTCTTTTTTGTAAGAATCTTTTTGGCTTATGTCTTGTCTTAAATAACTGTTTTGAAGATAATGATACTGGAATACCCATTATTATTTTATTTGCTTATGAAATTTTATTCTTTTTTATAAAATATAAAAGAAATAAACACTGAGTGGGATTAACAACAGATTAGATTGCAGAAGAATGTCCTGTGAATGTGAACATTTAGGGCCTACTAAAAAAGAATTACAGGGACCGGGGGGG